GAAAGGGGTGGTGTGCTGCACTTTTTAGGATCCCTAAATATTGCCACCCTGAAAGTAAAGGGCACTGAACAAGGCACAGTGTAGTAAGCACAACTGCAAGCTTGCCAGGTATTACCTGCTTTGCACAGAAATACAGAATTGTGTGGCCCACAAGCAGGCCTGTGTTCCCCATTTTTTTGTTTAGTTTTTAGTTCCCATTTCTAAGTTTTAATCATACAGTAACTCTGCCCCCGACACCTACAGAAGCATTCTGAGGATCAGAAAGACAAAGGGGGCTTCTTTTTAAGTCCACCGACTTCAAGGGGTGCATGTGTAGGGTTCCACCTCCTCAGAAGCAGAGCACGAAAAGGAGCTGGAGCCCAAGGAAATAATGAGCCACTCAATTTGGGATTACAGCCTGGACTCAAAAACTCCTGTGTTTCAATGAGTGGCCACTCCCACGAGGGGTTAAGCAGCTGCTCATAAGCTAACGACCATCTGTTTAATATTGCATGGAGGAGAGCTAATTGCAGCAACCAAAGGACAACACATCTGCCTGGTTTGTGCCTAAAATTGAGGCTTGCAAAAAAAAAAAAAAAAAACACACCCAAACAAGTTCAGCAGAAACATATGCAGCTGGATTTAGCTTCAAGCACATCACAACAACATTTGGGCTAATACAGGAAAGAGAAAGCGAAGCTAATAAATAAATCACTCAGCAGCACTGAGAACAGCCTGTTTTGCAGTGTCCACAATTAGCACGTGATAAAAGGCCCTGACAATATCATCACTTAATGTCAGTGTGAACAGGAAGGACACATTCCCCTACTAAAACTTTCATTAGCATGCTATTAGCACAAAAGTGGACATTTCCTCTGGATTACCTTCTGGCAAGCATCATCCCTTCAAAGGTAAGAGAAGCAAACGAACCTGGTTCTGATTCCACTTAAAATCTGGAACTAGAATGAAGCCATTGCAAGGATCTGGGTTTTCATGGATGATTCGATCAGCCTCAGCTTTCTTCCCCAGGATATTATAGACCCACTGAAAGAGAAACATGTGATTTATAAACCAGCAGAGAAAAAAAAAGCAACACCTCAGGCACATTTAGCCCAAGTTTATGGATTAGTGCACATTCCCTGAAATAGAAAAAAAAACCCAAACAAACAAAAAACCCAACAACTTGATTTTAAGATGACCAAATAATTTCACAGCTGGTAACATTTGTAGTTAATTACCCACAACACACTCCAACAACAAACTCCAGGCTATTATGAGCACTTCAGTGAAAAGATATCCCCGGACCCCACTGCATGGCATTGCACTGCCAGCTATCTAAATTATTCAGGGATTGTTGTTTTCCCCTCAAGCATTAAGAACTGGCCACAGCTGGAGATGAGGTATCAAACAGAGATGGTTTAGTCCAGTGTAGAAATGGTCATATTTGTCTGTAAGAGGATTTGGAGATAATTCTCCTCGATGGGGTCTAGCAGACCCGGCTGCTTTACGCGGCTGGAGATGGAGTTGCTGCAAGCACAAAAACCCCTGAGGGGCAGCAGCATCCCTCCTCCATGCTCCCACCAGCTGGCAACAGGCAGGTACAGGCATTCAGACAGATCAGCCATCAGCACAAGCAACTCAGAGCACAGCAGACCCTGGCGAGGCAGGCAGCAGTGGAAATCAGCTTTTCCGGGGCTCAGCAGACACCTCTCACAGCACCCCAGGGCTGTTTGCACCTTTTTACCCTCCCAGGCCACACCAAAACCTTTATAATTAGGTCTGGGAAAGAAACTCAACTGACTTTCCCCCCCCCCCCCCTTCAAAAAGGAAGGAGCAGATTGCAAGCCCAGGGCTGGATGCAGCTCCGGCTGCTGGCAGCCAGCACTCATCACGCAAATACGCAATGCCTGTGTTTTCTTGGGCAATGCATATCTCTTGGTTTCCTGGCTGATTAGAAAACAGCTTGCCTCCTCCTCTTCTATACTTAAAGCTTTGGCCTCCAGACTGCCCGTAATCCCTGCTCTGGTTAACCCCCAGTGCTCCTCCCTCAAAGCAAAGCACCATCCGGGAAAGAGTTTCAACTACGAAATGGAAGAGACGAGGAATAAGTGATGAGTAAGATGAGAAGAAAGCATCTTTGCTTCTCCTGGCTCCCAACCTGAGCTCAAGCATCCTTCTCTACACCTCCAAAATGCACTTTATGCTCTAGCTTAAGTATTGGACTGTCAAGGGAGTCCCCAGCCAGGTCCCTAGAAGATAAGGCAGTAAAAACATGGCTAGGGCTTGGAAGCTGAAAACATTTTGAAACATCATATTCCCCATCAAGTTCAGGTATTGAAACATTTTGGTTGTCCCAGCTGGGTAGGGAAGATGCAGCCAGTCTTGCAGACCCACTGAGTGAGCTGGATCAGTGGATGCTGTGCACACCAGACACTCAAGATAAAAAGACAGCCCTTTAGGGGAACTCTGTCAAGAGTTTAATTAATCCAATCAAAACTTAGGATCATTGTGAACTGACCTGAATATATCCTTGGGGACAAACAAATCTCTCCTCCCTTGATCTGTTTTTTGCTTAAATTTCTGGTCTTTTCTTCCTAGCAACAACGTCTTAGAGAAGATTAGATTCTCAAAGCTATTTTGGAAAGCACGGCACAAAACCGCTGTGCTTTGTGACCCTGGAAGAAAAGCAAGGCAGGAAGCTCAGCAGGAAATGAAAGTTTACCCTTTGGGTGTTTTTTTTTTTTTTATGCCTGCTCTTATCACAAGTGCCAAGTTATGAGTGCCCTAAATAAGTTCACTGATCAGATGAGCTGAATTTTAAACCCAATGCTGCCTCATGTGATGGGCAGGTCATCAGCTGACTGCTCTTGCTGTTTCCAGCACAAGCCCAGCAAAGACAACACATGTCCAGAGACTGGCATCACAATAAAACTATTATACTAAAGCATCCACACTTTGCATCCTCCAGCAGAAAACAGAGATGCCTCTGTAGTCCCCTGATATTTCTGTTACCCTTCACATTTCCCCTTCCACTCATCAGAACCAGTTAAAGACAAGTAACAGCATTATCAAAGGAGAGCTCAAGGACTGACTGTGCTGACCATTTCTCAGCAGATGCTCCTGATGGTCACCAGGAACATGTTTCCATGTACAGAAATCAGCTCACAAGCATTTGGTGGAAGAGGGAGAGACTGAGAGCTGAAGCAGCTTCCAAAGGCAGCTGCTACACCAGGAAACTTAACAGCCTTTGGAGCAAAAAGTACAGAGAAAACATTTGTGCAGGTTGCTGTCTGTTGGAAACATGCTCTTTGTCTTTCTCCAGCTAATAAACGCCGCCTGTGTTATTGGTGTTGCAGCGTGGCTGTCTGCAAGAAAGCTGAACAACAGAGCAAAGAAAAGCAGGGGGGTGAGGAGCAATTGAGTGCACACTGCAGCTTGCAAGGTGCCTTCTGGTACAAGATGCAGAGAGCAGGATCCAGGTTCATCTGCAAGCGATTAGAAAACAGACATTGCAACAAGGAACTCTTGTTAACCCTTCTGCTGCTGTTTAAGGCAGAAGGAAAGAGGTGTGGGGGATACCCAAGGCCTGTGGTCAGTTGTTTTGGGGGGTTTATTTTTAATGGATAGCCTCAATACATCCAGGATTTGTTTTATTCTCTCTTCTGCACAGGCCAGCATGAATTGGTCCCTACAGACTTGTGTTCCTTTGGTCTCTAAAGAAAGTTAGCGAGAGGAATGGTCAAAAAGATGTAAAATAGGAAAAAAAAAAAAAGTCCATTACTACTGCCTGGGGCAAAGAGGACACTAAAGTACAGCTTCCCCATGTGGAATAGAGCCATTGGCAGAGGAGCTGTGAGCAAAGCCCAAGGAGTGAGTTGTGATGCAGGAATCCAAGAGGAATCTGTGCCCTGCCACTTCCACAACACTCAAGAAACTCCTAAAGCCCAGAGAACAGCACCGACGCCCAGGGAGCCACCCTCAGAGAGGAGAAGGAACACCCCAACACAGAAAGCCTCCAGAAACCTTGCGAAAGGCAGCTTGGCTACATGTCCAAGGTAAATGTTTTTATGCAAAGATGGAGAAGGATGCCCCAGAGGACAGGGCAGGGACACGGAGGGGAGTTTGGGGGAGAGTCTTGTTTAGAATCACTGAGCTTACACCAAAGGCCAGACAGCCTCGAGAAAAGTGCAATAGGTAAGGGGACGTGTTCAGCAAAGCAGGCAGCATCACAACCCAGAATTAGGAGAAATAATCTGCAGCCAGCGGTGTTTGAGAAGCAGGCTGCCCGGCCAGATGAGAGGGTGCAGCACCGCAGAGCTGACGACACGCTGATGGAACAACCAACAGGGAGAGGGGGGCAGAGCCCTCCCGACTCTTCCGTCTCCAACCTGGGCTTCTGAGGAGACATCTGACAGCCCAGCGTTTTGAAGGAGACCAGATATCTGTCTGGTGGGAAGCAGTGGTACCCATACCTGGATGCTGAAGCTCTGGGACTGGATAAAGGGCAGCGTTATATTCTTGTAATCCTCCCAGGTTTCGCGGACGAGGTGCACTTCTTGACGGAGGTATTTCTGAAGGTGTTTCTCCGTGGCAGGGTACACCACTGTGGTTTTTATTTCTAGAAACAAACATGTTTACCAAATTATCATCACCGATGAAACCCACACTACTTCCTTCAGAGCCCAATAAATGTTTTCCCCTTCCAATAAATGCCAAACATTTTGAAAAGATACCACTAAAATAGCAGGGTGGAGAATGGACAGGGAGAGCAAAGAAGAGCTTTAACCTCCGGGGCTGCCGCTGCTTTTCTTGAGAGAGGACAAGCTTACAACACAGCCAGGGCCTGTCTTTCCAGTTCAGGTGGAAGAGTTTGCTGTCTGAAAGGTTGGGGTTTTTTTTTTGTTTGTTTTTTTTTTGTTTGTTTGTTTCTTTTGTGGGTTTTTTTTGTTTTGTTTTGTTTTTTGGTACTTTTTTTTTTTTGTTGGTTTTGGTTTTTTTGTTTGTTTTGTTTCCCCCCCCCCCCCCCCCCCCACTTGCTCTTTCAGGTGTATCATCAACACTGGGCTCCTGGGGAAGAGTTTACATGCAGTCAACAACCAGGACAGAAACACAACCCCAGGGGCAGAGTCGCATCTTCCCCATGCTTAAATCCAAAGCTCATGGGATATTACTGTGCGAGCCCCCAGCAACTTTCTCCAGCCACAAAACCAGATGTTGCATGAGCTGCCAGCAGCGGGGCCAGCACAAGGAGCAGCTCCTTCCCAAAGCTCTCAGCTGTCAGGATGCTTGGCCTTGAGCCCCCAGCACAGGGGGCAAAGAGGTCAAGGTCACAGGGCCAGATCTGGAACAAACAACGCAGGCTGATGTGTTAACATGGTACAGGAGGAGCTGAGGGCAGAGGGCTGGGTGATTCCCCTGCGCCAGCCAACAAAAAGCATTTAGCTGTTTACTCTAGCAAAAGGAAAATAATTTCTGTTTACCTCTTGCTGCGTAATTTCTGTGGCATTAAACAGGATGCAAGCGCACACCTTGTCAACCTGGCAGCTTTAACCTCAGCAGCAGTAAACCCTACCCACAGTAGTAAAACACTTGGAAAATATCCCTCTTTGGCCGATATTAGATGTACGATACAGAGCCTGCCACAACTCCGAGGGCACCAGCAGTGCCTCCGCCTTCCCGCTAACGGAGAGCTGCTATAAAACTTAATGCAGGAAGGAGAAAAACCCCACGAGCCTGGACAAATCCTGAGCAGATGGGTCCAAACAAAATGGCTGGGGCACTGCAAACATCGCAGCTTGTGCCCGAGGTCTGCCACGGTCACAAAAACCACGGGCTGCACACTCACCAGGGTAACAAACAGTCATGCCTCATGCTTTACACACATATATATGCTAGCCAGACACTGAATATAAATATCTATTTGTTCCTAAAGCCAGGATTTAAGGTGGGTTTTGGTTTTGTTTTTTTTTTTTTTTTTTGTTTTGTTTTTCTTTAAGGTCGGCACCGCACAAGCCAGGAGACTCTGCCTTTTCATTGCATGCCAAACCCAGCTTAATGAAATCCACAGGAAAATGCTGGTAACATGAAATATGAAAATGCAAACCACAAGGGCAGTCTGGTCCGATTCCCACCATACACATGTTCAAACAAGGTTGTTTTCCAGGACTCGATTAGCACTTCTAGCAGGATGATGTAATAGCAAAAAAGAAAAAAAAAAAAAAGACAAGGCTGTAGAGCTCCTCTGCTCCTCACTTAAAAAGACCAGCAAAGCACTGGGGAGAAAACAAAAAGGTAAAAGAAAAGTAAATACCACATTCAGCCTCAGGCTGAAACTTCCACAATTTAATTTTATACCCCCAAAACAAGAGCAGGGACTGCAGTAGAAACCCCTCCATCCCCAGGGTGGTGATAACCATAATCCCTGCACCAGCTGGGATGGGGCTCCAGAGGAGCCTTCACAGCTTCCCCAACACCTCTCCACTTTGGGCAGTGGCTGCTCACGACGGGGAGAGCCACTTAGGTTACTTTAAAGCCTCATGTAAGATCAGAGAAATCCTTAATGTGCAGCTGCGGTTGAGCAGCAGATGCTTGGAAGAGGAGAGGGGGGAGAAGCTGTGGTTCACTAATGATTATTTCCCTTCTAGAGGTCTCATCAACTGCGAAACACCCCAGCAATGCTAATTAGCATAAATCACTATGGCCAGAGAAGCTGTTTGATAAATGCTCAGAGCCTGACTATCATTAGGAGCCCGTGCATGGGATGCAAAGTCCTGGCTAAGGCTGGGCTCAGCCGCAGGAAACATCCACAGCGAGACCGGGCTCGCCACGAAATCTTTCCATTGCTGGCGACCAGCCGTGTTCATGCTCCAGTTTAAAAGCTGCCCTGCTCCTGGCAGACTCCAAATGCATTAAAACATCACGTACGCCATGGGGCAGCCGAAACCTACCCTGGCCTGGAGATGAGGGTAAAGAAGAGCTGGACACGTGATGTTGGGGTTTTAAGCTCACTGAAGGGTCAGGGATTGTCTCCACTCACATCTGAGTCACATCAGCCAGAGTGTTCCTGAACACCAGCCCAGGGACACCATGAAACGCCTGTGGTTTATTCTGGAAGTCAGGACTGACTGTCAAATTAACTGGAGGTTATGAAAAAAAAAAAATAAAAATGAAGTGTAATTGAAGGAACCCGGATGAGCAGGAGGCAGAAGCACTGCGACAGTAGAGAACAACCACTCAGTTCATCCTACAAAGCGCCTGTGAGGGGATAACACCACACTGTTGTTTCCCTGCTGAGGGGAAAAAAACTTGGATGGATCAGAAACAAAATGATTCCTCCCCTCTCCTGTTAAAAATGAAAGGGGAATAAAACAACCCAAGACACAAACAACAAAACCACAGCTCAGTTTGGGGAACTTACGGAAAGAAGGGCTGAAGGCAGCTGTCACGAAGAGAGGATGAAATGTGTTACCCCGTGATCCCTACGGTGCAGGACAGCTACATGTCACAGATGGGAAGGAGGCAGAGCAACCTCATGGACATTCAAAAATGCACTCCAGGCTCTCTTTGGCTCTGCCAAGATCCCCCTCCAGCTCAGCATGTCAAATTTCAAACCAATGCAAACAGCAAGGAGAGGCCAGGGTGACCTGCTGAGATGGCTCCTTGTGCTCGCTTCTCACATCCCACTCAGCAACGTTAAAACCAACCACCATAGTTTTGTTTTAAATAGACTTAAACATGCCAGGGAGCCAAGAGAAGCATGCAGGGCAGGACCAACCTGTTTCTACTTTTGGGCAGGGATGCTTTTTCCTCCCTTTACTAGTAAAAAGCTGAGCTTTGGCTTATGATCTGCCTAATCAACTCAACCGTCAAATGTAGGAAGAGCCAAGCCCAGGAAATGGCAGAGAACGTCACATTTGCACTCTTGCAAGTTTTCTTTTCCTCTTCAAGCCTCTTACCTGACAATTGCAAGGCAGCATCAAGCTGTATGTAGCAGGAATCTCCTTTGGTGCAGTAATATAATGATGCACAACCTCCCCCTTCCCCTCCTGTATTAACACAGTTTATTTAGTTTTATGATCACAACCGCACATCAGTCATAGGGGGAACACCCAATTTTTACCCACCCCCAACCAGGTACAACCAGCCTCAGACATCTGAGGCTCTTGTTACCGAATGAAATAAAAAACACAGAAGAGAAGGATAAAGCTTGCAAGAGCTCACAGTCTCCAAGGCCAGCACATGCCAGGGCAAGCCAAGCGTGGTGCTGGGGACTTCTGCCAAGGCTGGCTGGGCCCTGGTTCTCATCCAACGAGGGCTCTGTGGGCTCTAGCTGCAACAGCCACAGCGGAGAGGAAATCTGCAGGTTACCTACTCCCAAAAAGTACAGCAAAGCACAGTGATACCACCCCCCCAGCCCCCCAGTCACCCCACGCGCTCCCACTGCTTCAGGCTCCAGCTTTTTATTTAGGTGTAAATGCAAAGAGTTTTCTTTGCTGGGCAAGCCCCCCCAAGGCAGGCGGAACATGGAGATGCTGGGAGACCAACCAGCCCTCCCAGTGCAGCTCGTGCAAGTTTCCCCAGCTCCTCACTGCCTGAAACCAGACTCTTTTTGGGCTTGGGAAGGCAGGGATATGTATCACTTCCTGCACGACTGAATACTTTCCTTCCACGCTCTCTCATTTCTCCACCCCGTGTCAGAGAGATGGAGCTGGAGCATCTCCCTCTGTGCTCATTCTCAGACATTTTTAATAAGCTTCAGCCTGAAGCACATGAATGAGCCATGCCCAGTGAGTAAATATGCCTTAAAGGACTGGTAACAGCCCTTAAATTAAGCCGGCACAGCTTTGGTGCTGTGAAACATGATGTCCCTCAGCAACCAGGCAAGAGGAGGCCGCTTTTTGCTGGGAACAACAAGCTCTCCTTGCTAAACGGGTGCAAGCACCACCAGGAGCTGGATGTTGTTATCAGGGAGTGTGTTGATTGAACCATTTGGCTTTTGCAACTGAGCCTCTGGCAGCAGGAAAATCTTTCCCCTGCTATGAAAGCAGACCTTGCAAGGGGGAGACCCAGGGGTAGGGACATACTCTGCCTCTTAAATCTATGCAACATCCATCAACTGGCCTTAACATAAAGTACAGATGCCTGCCTTTGCCAGTAGCAGAGCAGTTATGATCAGAGGGCATGCTCTCTGACACCGCTCTTCCTCGCAAACTCACTCACAAATTTCCTTTTCCTTAGTCAGGTGGGTTTGGGTTGCCCTTCAGACAAACTCTGACTATTATTAAGCTGGTTCGCAAATCTTATTTCCCATTTTAGCTTTGACACATCTCTCCTAGTGGCCAGTAAAATCAACGAGCCAAGCAAGACACAGGTGAGGTCCTCTAAGACCAGCACCATCTTTATGTGTCCCCATGCCAGCATGCCCCTAGCTCTAAACATCTCATCTTTAAGCAGCAGTAGAGTGAAATTCCTCTTCCCAGGGCAGAGGGGTGTCATTTGCTCAGGTAATGTGCTTCTTTTGGCCTCCCTTCCTCTGCCATCACCACGCAAACAAAGCGACTGGCCCGGCCTTGCAGGCCTTTTTACCACCAAGACAAAACAAGCTTTCATCACGAGGCCTGTGTTAGCTTGACTCCGTGGAGGGAACAGCATCCAACTCACTTAAACGAGGAGGCGGGGAGAGGGTGAAGAAAACACCCACTTTCAACTATCAAGAAACTCCGGGCCAAGTGAAGAGCCCCCCGGAGATTTCAGACCACAAAGGCAGCATTGAGAAACACGCTTTGAAAAAGCCGAGGGACCCAGAGGCAGCTCCTCACGCCTGTCAACGCGCCCGATGTCATGAGTCACCTGCGGTCATGATTTCCTCCGTCTGGAGGTTTATCTTACCTTTAGAAAAAAGGAAGCTGAGCGTGAAGGGGCTTAGCCACCCGGGATGTTGTGAAATCCCAGGTGAATTTTTCTTCTGCGTGACACCACGATCCGGGACTTTTCAGAGGAACTATTTAATGCCAAAGCTTGACCTTTTCTGCAAAATACTTCTACTGCATCATGTTAACCAGCTGTAAACCTGCAAGTGCCAGGAGATAAAACTCTATCTCTGTAACCCTGCAACCAAGAGGCCAAGATAGACCCCGCTGCAAGAGCTCACCGAGTATCCACACAATCACTCAATGTCCTGCGATTTCTCACAAGCCCTGACATTGTCTGCAGCCTTACAAGAAATTTCTCCTTTGTTTTAGGTTTATAAGGTACATTTCTCACATCATACTCCCTTCTTGGGCTATGACTCAGCTCAAAAGAGCAATTTCCTTCCCCTCCTGACACATACAACTGTTTCCTCCGGTGCCAGCCCAGCTGCCCACCAGTGGCTCATGCAACCTGCCCACAAAAAACAGCTATTCAGCACCAAATTGGTTCAAAGGAAGCAGCCTCCTTGCTCACCACTCGGAGCCAGGGAGCCTGGAGAACAGCACCAGGGTCCACAGCCCCTCCTGATCTCCTGTTTGGGACTGCCCAACATCCAGAGCAAGCAAAGCAGTGCCAAGGAGAGGGGTAGGAAGCAAAGATGCACCACTGGGTAACATTTCTGCAGAAGCCTGCCTTTTCAAGGTAATTTTTAAAGGAAAGATAAACTTCAGCAGGAGGAAGGCAGAGGCTTTTTCCCCGTTCAAACCTGCAAGAGGAATGGCACGAACACTCATCCAAAAGCGTAGCAGGTTTGGTCCAGCCATGAAACAAACAGCATGGCTACGCAGGGCAGAGTCACAGCACAGGGTCAAACAAACAATTCAAGCAAGGATTTAGTTTAATGAAGGTCCAGAAACAGGATGTAAGAAGACCCAGATTCACCTGGTTTTGCTCCAGCCTCTCAGAAAAAGCAGGACCTAGCACAGCACTGACAGAGACTGGCAACCCTTTAACAGCCTTTTCACCCCAGCAAGGGTTTTTGCAACTGGGAAATCTTAAATTAAATCAAAAATTTTGCTATTGGAGTAACTCTGGAGTTGTGCTACAAGACAGACAAATGCCAGCACTGCTGGCATTTGTCTGCAGCTGGAGAGAAGCCCAGGGGATTTTAAGTCTTGCAATGCCACCTCGTGGGCATCACTGCAAGTCGCTGCCAGCCTCCAACACAGCAGGCACCCAAGCAGGAGTCTTTCCAGCCAAAGCAGCACAGATTTAACATCTTCCCATACATGGCATCTGCAAAAACTGTAGTGTTGAGGTGTTTTCCTGCCATTGAAACATGGCACTGTAACACTGAAACCTCTGCGTCCTCAACAGGACAAGAGGAACTCTGCACATCTCAAGCTCCCAAAGCCAGACAGTGCTTCCTCCTACACCACAGACACAGCATTTTCAGGAAGACACATCAAACATCCTGAAAATTTCATTCAGGACTGCAACTTCTTACTTAAGGCTATCACTCTGATTAACTTTGACTCTGTTAAACCTGTTTGGCTATCACTGTGCTTATGGAAGCGTCGACATGTAATTAATCACTGCACTTCTAGAATTTAAACACATACCAGCATTAAATTGAAGTGCTGGGACTCCTGAAAGAGCAGCCACCCTTTCCAGAGGCGGCTGCAGAGCGCCACAATCACAGGACACCTTTCCACTGTGACAAGAATCCATCTCACAGGATGACAGCCTTCCACTGAGGCTCTCCAACCCACTCAGCTGACCTTGTCATGCTGTTATTAATTAGGTTTTGTAACACACAGATGTGTGAGATCAGCAGGGAGAGGCTTGAAAGGCAGAGGCCAGGTGCCCATCTGCCCCAGGCACTTGGTTACCAGTATTTAAATCCCTCCTGCAAACATGCTAGCTGTCCTTACCAGGGGAAACATCAGACAACAAAAAGAAAGCACATGAGATGATACCCTGGAATGAAAAGATGACAAGAGATTGTTTTCAAGGTAAACCTTACGGGGAGAGACAATATCTTACCAGATTAACTGATATCATTGAAAAAAAAAAAAAAAAAAGACACAAGGAAAGCTTTCAGACCCACAAGTCCTTCACTTTTAAATTCATGCACAGGCAGATGATTGTAAGGAATCGAGCGATAGCCATTTAATAGCCAGCTGAGCTAAGTGCCTGACAGTGCAGGGAAAAGGGGGTGAAATGAGGCAGCATCCAAAGCCTTAGGAGTAAGATCTTGCCTTCAGAGCAGCAATGATCCACTGACCAAGCTGGCCAGGTCTGCTGCTATCAGCCAGACCACGACTGGGTTGGCACGGCCAGGTCTGGCAGGGGCACTTCCCTGTGCCTCTGCATCCCTGCCTGAGCTGGCAGGAACACACCAACTGGCCTCCCAGCCACGACCACTGGCCCACAGCCTAGCTGCCCTCCCAAGACCACCCCCAACCCTGCACAGGGCTGAGAGCGCTCACCGCTCAGCTCCGGGGGAGGATAGAGGTGGTACGTGCTGTAAATGTCATTGCACATCTGCAGCTCCAGCTTTGTGTGCTTCTTCAGCAGGTCCAATACCTTCTCCTCCTGGAAAGGAGTCTTTTCCAGGATGACTACAGCATCTGTCCCCTCTCCAGAAGGGCTGGTCACCTGGAATAAAAATGGATAAAGCCGGTGGCAAACACAGATTCAGCTCTGGGTGGAGAGTTTGAGGCAACGACCTGAACACCTCCACCCAGGGATCACAAGGGACACCTAACAACCCAATTTTGTGCACAAACCTCTTCTTAGTCTGGCCACCCATCCAAAAATAAAGGCACATTTGCCCTGAAGCATGGCAGGAATCTGGTTCCCATCAGGAACACAGGCAGTTTTTTGGCAGAAGACGGGATGTGGACAATGTCTCAACCCATCTGCACCTCCCCAGAAGTTCCCAGTGCCCATGGCTGCATTCCCACATCACTGATTTAACCTCAGATACTCCCAGGTTGACACAGGGTCACTAAGCAGGCAGTTGGAGGGTCAGGAAGAGGGCAGAGGCAGGTACAGGGGTTTGCATCACGGTCAGGGAGCAAAGCTAGGCTGTTTTGGGGGAAGGGGAGCTGCTGGCCTGCTCTGAGGAACCACAAGCCATATCCGGACGTGGCCTGAGCGTGCTGGTTTTAGGAGGCATGGAGCACCCCCCCCCCCCCCCCACCCCAATGACCCCCATCTGCACAGGACCTGGGCAAGGCCTCAGTGAACATCACTTGGGGAGAGCAAAGGGGGGTTCACCTGGGGCTCCCACCCTCACAGGGCAGAGCAGGCAGCTCTGCGCCTGGTTCAGTTACCCACCGACCACCAACCCATTGCCCTGAGCCCGAAGCAGCAGCTGGAAGCATCTCCCCCATCCCCATCGCCAGCTTGGATGCACGCCTTCCGCGAGATGGGAGCCGAGGCGACTGCGCTGCTCCCACACCACTGCCAGCCTCTCCAGCCGTGAAATTGAACGGGTTGTTACAGATTACCCCTTTCTGGCACCTGATGGGCACGCCTATCCTATTTACAGCCCCCCAGTTAGCCTCTTCCTTGCGATTCACGCCGTTTTACCCACGAAGCGTGGAAATCTGAGGGCAGGGGGGCGTGGCCTCAGTGCGGGGCGTGACCTAGCGATCTGGGGGGCGTGGTCTCGGTGTGGGGGGCGTGGCCTGCTCGGGCCAGCCCTCAGTGGGGAAAATGGCGGCGGGCAAAAGCGGGCCTGGACGCCCCCCCCCCCCCCCCCCCCCCCCCCCGTACCTCCCCGTGCAAAAACACGGCCTTGTCCCGCGCCGACTCCCGCAGCACACGCCGCAGCCGCAGTTCCGACAGCGGGAAGGCGGCGGCCCCGTCGCGGGGCGCGGCGGCCGCCGCCTCCTCCTCCTCCTTCTCATCTTCCTCCCTCTTCCTCTTCGACCGCGGGCCCTCCGCCATGGCGGCCCCCACACTGTGCCGGCGGGCCCGCCGAAACAGGCGCTAGAGCGGCGCCGGGCGGGGAGTGCGCCCCCTGGCGGCTTGACGGTGCGACAGGCCTCCATTCACACACCCTTCCACCCCCGCCCCCCAAAGGTTCGGAATTTGGGTTGCGGGCTCGACCCCCGCCTTCCCCGGCTAAAAGCTGCCTCCCTCCTCCTCCAGAGCCCACATCCACGTCAGGGATCACCCCCCCCACACACACACACACCACCTGGGGGGGTGTGTGGGTGTCGCCCTCAGTGCTCCTTCCCAAGCTGCTGAAGACAGGCAAACAGGGAAATTAAAACCAAAACCAGAATTTGAAACTTCTGCATTTTCATATTCCCAAACCCATGCAGAGAGTCAGCCGGTGCCTGCTCCTCCTTTTCCTGCCCGCAGCTCAGGCACCATGTCAGCATACTGGGGGTCTGAAGCCCCCCAGGACCAGTCCCAGCCCAGGGTCAGGGGTGGAGGGGAAACACCACCCCGACCCACCCTACATCAGGGCTTAGTGTTTGCGTGATCAACAGTGGGGACCTGCTGGACGACATCCCCATCCCCACACCAAGGGGATTTTGGCCACTGGGATGGTGGTCACTCCCCCTCCAGCTCCCAGGTCTGGTCCAAGCAGCTCAGCTTCACCCCCGAGGTCCGTTGGGACACGGCCGCATCCCGATCCGGTGGCAGCAGCCCTGAAACACCCGCAGGGATGCCTCTGCCTGCTCCCAGCACTACTCAGTCCAGCTCGTGGAGCTCCGGCACAGATCCTGGAGGTCTGAGGAGGCAGCATGAAGACCCATTAGAAACCAATTCATCTAAAAATCAAGCTATTTAAATAAATATACAGAGTCTGGTCCTTTCCCATGGTCTCCACCCCACTGGAGTAAAGTTTCACCAGCATCCCACCGCATCAACCCCTGCTGGCATCCCACGGCAGACTCACAGCGCACGACGGTGTCTCTGATCTGCCTGAAGCTGTTCTCCTTCAGCGCCATGTAGATGTAGTAGAGGTTTCGCAGCTCCTTGGGATAATCCTTCCGATCCACACCCTTCAACACCGGGATGGTGCGCCCATTGGCCAGCGGAGCTTCCGCCAAAGCCTGGTGCATCTGGAACTTGCACCAAGGGTCCTGGAGGAAGCTGGGGGTGATGAGCATGACCCAGCAGTGGCTGTTCTGCACAGCGTTGCACAGTTCTGTCACCACCGCGCTTCCCGGCACCGCGTCCCGCAGCTGGAGGAAGCAACGGAAGCTTTCGGGTTGACTCTCCAGGTAGGACACCAGCTCCTCCACCAGCTCCAGGTCCACCTCACTGTGGCAGATGCAGACATCGTAGCTCTTGGCCCACCGGGCGCTGTCTGAGGCGTTGATGTCCAACACCGAGACTGGTGACAAGCGAATGGACCCGGACAGGCTCACGTCAGGAGAGGAGCTGGAGCTCTTGGCAGAAGATGAGGAAGACGAAGGCAAGGAAGAAGCAGAGCGGCCGGTGTTGAGGCTGCTCTCCACCAAACTGGGCTTGGGTTTGTGCAGGAGCCGCCTAAACCAGCCTGCAGAGTCAGAGAGACAACGGTGAGGTTTGGAGGGCTCAGCACCCCCCAGGATTCCCAAGGGGCTTGTGCAGCATCACTGGCTCACTGCAGGACACCTACAGATGGAGAGAGCTGGGCAGAATCTCGCCCTGACCTTCCCCCCCACCCCAAAAAAAACACTCCAGCCCCTAAAAGCTCAGCTATTACCAAAACCTGGATGCTACTGCATCATGGCCTGTGGGCACCCTTGTGTTTTGGTGGGGAGGGGATGTGGTGAAGGAGGGGAGCCAGAGGCTTTATCCTGCCCAGCATCAACCAAACCCGCACTCACCGGCCATAGTGGGCAGCACGCTACTCATCTGCTGATCGCCAGCATGAAACTTCTCCTGCCAGCGGAAAGAAGGGATAAAAAAAGAAATTTGGAAAGCAGGAACCAGCCCTGCAGAGGGTCTCACCCCAGGAGCTCAGTGGGGTTTATTCTAGGGACATACAGCTCTGGGGTGCTCACCTGCAGCCTCAAAATCACCCCCTGGCAAAGTTTTCTGCATCCGCCTCCCAAAAATTTGCTGGGAAGGAGCATTTTGACCTCAAGAAGGGCTGGAAGCAGTGGCTCAAGCAGCCTTTCTGCCTGCCTGCCTTCTCCCTCTGCCAGAGATACGCACCTGCAGCGAGCGAGGCCGAGAGCCAACAGGCAGGAGAGACCCTCATTCCCAGCGGCGGGGAAAGGATCCTGCAGACAGGAGAAGCAGGGATCACTGGAGATCAACTGGTTAGATGGATTGGGCAACGCCCATCCTGGCATCCCCTGCCAGCTCACACCATGCCCACACCGCAGTGTCAGGCTCCCAGCACAGTTTGGGGTGCCCAGACCCTCCCTGTGGGCACCCAGGAGGAGCAACAGGGGAAACAAGCCCCAGGAGCAAACATGACTGGTCTTTTCCACTGCTTGCATCATCCCTTCCGAAATAAAACACCCCGAGTCACAAAAAAACCTTTCCCCTACCCCGAAAACGGCACAGAACCGCAGCAAACGTCAGCAGGACCTCGGCACACCCGTAGAAACCACACTCCCCAAGCAAGCCACTGCACAGTCATAACAAAAAGCTCCAAGTGCGGCTTGAATGACGAGCACGGATGAAGGGAAGGGGAAATTTAGGGGATGCCTACCTTAGATGCAGGAGTTGGGCACCGGGGCAGGGAGGAGGGATGCATCAGCCCCCTGGGTTCAGGAAGGAGGAAGATCTTCCAGGATCACCTATGTGGGAAAGGGAAGGTAAGATCCACCATGTTCACTCTGGAGCCTAATGGGATCCACAGTGAATGGTGAGGACGATCTATCCACACAGCTTCCCCACCCGGGAGCAGCTCCCAGGGAAGCGGCCCCAGGGTGGAGGGGAAGTCAGGAACACCCACCAGAGTGGAAGAGCTTCCCCAGCCCCCCTCCCCAGCTGCCAGCAGGTTTGGGCTCTGCGGGGGCACGCGGAAGCACAGGCAGGGGAAGTCGGCCGCAATCCCACGGGGCTGGGGAGCCAGCCCTCCCCAGGGCCTCCCTCCCACATCCACCCCACCAGTGAGATGCCATTGCCAGCCAGCCATCACTGTGCCCAACCCTCATGTGCACACAGCCGTTGCCTTCCCTGGTTTTATAACCAGACTCAGATAAACCATTTCTGCTTATTTTATGAGTTACATTTACCAAAAGCATTCCTCCCCCCATCTCTCCTTTCCCAGGTAGCATCTTTCAGGATTCCCCTAACCACACAGCACAGCTCCATCCACTCATTTACAGAAAGGACTCTGGCTGCATGACAACCCACCTTCATCCCCTCTTCATCCTCAACCCCTGCAGTGGCCAGGCAGGCACCAATGCCCAGCAGTTCCTCCTCGATGCCCTAGGTGACTTGGATGGGAGCCTGAAGGAAATGGGCTCCAGGTGAGCCCCAGTGCCGTCCTCAAGGGATCTGGGGAGGGGTCTCGAGGGGCTTTATGCCCACCCGGCTCCCTGGCAGGCTGCTCACAGTACAAGGCTGCCCAGAAGAGGTGTTCCCCCGTCTCTTCCATCCCTGGGGGATGACACAGTTGACCTTCAAGGTGGACACCAAACCGTTCACCCACCAGCACGACGCTGCCCTTGCAGCCCAGCACGGCGTGGAGGTGACCCACACTGTCTATGACACCAAGAGGTGGGTACTTGGTACCATCCCTCAGGGTACAGGGGAGCATGTTCCTCCCTCTCCCACCCCAGAGTCCTTGCCCTGAACAACAGCAAAGCCCTCTTGACCTACAAGCACCTGCAGAGCCCCTCGGCATCCCTCAGACCCCCAGCACTCACACAGGAGCATCCCCAGAGTAAGCATGGGGTGGACCTGGGAAGGTAAAGCATGAAGCTGGGTCAGCATCTCCCTCCTCGCTCATCTTGGAGCCGAGTGATGGCTGTCACACCCCCACCACACAACACCCCAGGCTGCCATGCTGCTGACCACAGGGTCCCCACCTTGGAGCTGGGCCAGGACCTCACCAAGGTGGATCCTCACCTCCACCCTGGCAGGGAGATGGCAGCACTTGCCTGGCTCACGGAGAGGACAGTCAGCATTCAGTTCCCATCACCCTAATTTTGGGGCTGCTTTGCCTCTCCCCACCCCAGAAGATAACCCCAGTGTCCCACCCTTCACCCCCATCCAGGTCTTGGTGTGCAGCTTCAAGAAGCCCAAGACAGAGCCCACCTTGCTGAGCCCCAGCACCACCATCCTCAGTCTCTATCTCAAATTCAGCTGCCTGTTGATTTGCACCTTCTGGTGGCAGCTACACAAGGTCTACCAGGGGTGAGGTGACATTTTTGGGGTGGAGGTCAGAGGGTGAGCCAGAAGAACCTGGCAGAAGGGGTGAGGGGCTAGAGAAGAGAGGGGCCAGACCAGAGAGGCTGATCCTGCCCTCACTAGCAGCAGGAGCACCCCTGGTCGCATCTCTGCATGGGCAGCTCCTCTGGAGGGAGTTTTTCTACACCACCAGCATCCCCACTTTTCACCAGATGGTCAGCAACCTCATCTGCCTGCAGCCTGACCCTGATGACAACCCCCAGCATCTCTGTGCCTGGAGGGAGGTACTTCCCTCAAGGATAAGCCTCAAGTCCTCCCACCCCATGCCCCATCTAACCCCAACACCCCACACCAGGGCCAGACAGGCTACCCCACCATCACCATCACAACCCAGCTGTGCACCAAGGACTAAATCCACCACCTTGCTCAGCACCCTGTTCCCTGCTTCTTCACCTGCAGGGACCTGTGGGACTGCTGGGAAGAAGGGCTGAACATCAAAATATCTACCTCAACACCCATCAGCACTTGCCAGGCTCTTGGGGACCCTGTCCCCACACTACCATGGTATCCCACGGGTCTTGGAGGAGCTCCTGGTGGACACCAACCAGTCCTTCAACACCAGCAACTGGCTGCAGCTAGCAGGTAGTGCCTTTTTCCACTGCTATTTCCAGGTCTACTCACCCATTGCCTGAGGCAAGAAGACAGACTGGGATAGGGTGCACATTCAGTAGGCATGAAACCCAAAGCCATGTGAAGAAGGGGGTGGCCTCCCTGGCAGCTTTGACCCCTCCCCATAGAAAATACCTCCCCATCCTCAAGGATTTCCCCACTGAGTACATCTACAAGCCCTGGAAGGGCACCACAAGCAACACAGGAACAGGCAGGCTGCCTGGTGGGCACCCACTACCCCTAGCCCATCATAGAACACGGGGTGGCAAGCAAGAGGAACTCAGGGTGCTTGGAGGCAGCCCACACCTGGAAAGGTAACAAATGCCTCAAGATCCACAGAGTTCCCCCCGCACCATCCTGCCACCTTGGCTGCCCTCCTCCCCTCCAGACACCAAGCAGGAGCCACCAGCCAGCCCTTCAGTGGCCAAATACTGAGCGATAAACCTAAGGCCAAGCAGCACTGAGCTTCACAGGGACCCCCATGCATCAGGCACCATTTGTACTGTTTCGACCCATTTTGCTCAACTGCCTCACATTAATCCCTTCCCCTCTCCTGCCTGAGACTAGTGAACTTTTGCTGCCATCATTCATGGATGTGCCCTAAAGGAAAGCGAGTCCACACCACCTGGAAACCCCAAAGCTGATGGGCTGTGCCCCAGGGGGTGAACATTACCCCACAAAGTCGAGTCCTCGAGGGGCAACGTTCCACCAGATCAACCACCAGCCCTGCCTTAGCCTAGGACAAGGAACGAAGGAGCTCAGAAAAGCACAGCTTGATTCACAACATGCCTTGACCCACCAGCAGCAGCACCGGGTTGAAATTTCCTGACAGCAGCAGCAGATTTTTGGTTACGGCATCACCAGGAAGCCCGTGGCTTATTCAGTTGCCTGCAGAGAGCATTAGGAAATAGCTGGAAGGTAGGGTTAGCACAAAACAGAGTCAAAGCCAACCCCGAAAAGGTGATCACGCGAGAAAATAAAGCTACTTTTGTCTCTAAATGCACCCCCCACTAACATACTTCATTTATGGCGCTCATACAAAGCAAGGAACACCTACCCTAAAAGCCAGAGAACAGCCCCTCTTCCTCAAAAGCCCCAAAACAGACCCAAACTCCTTCACGCTGATGCTTAAAAGCTTTAGAGCTGAGGCCGAAAACTGCTCCTAATACCTCAGAGGGCCAGAGCCACTGTCACACACAAACCCAAGCAGAGAGGCAGCTTGCGGAAGAAAGGGCCCTGAGGGGTAACAGAGCCCAATAACAACCCTCCCCAAGCCCTCGGACAGAAGGGACGATAAACCCGCAACTCTCCCATCACGACCTGCCAGGCGGCCGCGACACAAACCTTCCCCCCGCTGCACGCAAGCCGGGACTGCCAGGCGCATGCGCCCGCCGCCTTTTATAGAGCCCGGAAGCATCGCGAGAACAGAGGGTGGGCGGGAATTCCCGCGCAAGCGCCCTCCCTGCCGCTAGTCCCGCCTCTTCCGCTATGAGCCAATGGGAGGGGCCGGAGCGGAAGGGGGCGGGGCGTCTCCTCATGGGGCCGGGCGTGCGGCGCCAGGTGTGTACGTTGCGAGGGCGGTGGCGGGCGGAGGGGGTGGGGGTGGTGTTGCCATGGCGACCGCAGGCTGGGGGCCGCCGCCGTGAGGGGAGGGAGCCCCGGCGGCCGCCATGGCGGCGGGGGCGGTGGGCGCTCCGGGACACCCGGGAGAGGGGCTGGGGTGGGGGGTGGGGGGTGAGCACGAAGGGGTCAGTGGGGGTCCGCCCCCCCCCCCCCCCCCCCCCCGCCTTGTGCCGTCGCGCGCTTGTAAAGCCACTGTCTTGGGCGTTCTCCCCCCGCGAAAAGGGGCCTCAGCCTCTTCCCTCCTCGCTGAAATACCGTGTTCTTGCTTTTTCCCTCAGGTTTAGTGTGAGAGGGGGGCAAGGAAGGGGCGCAACGGACAGGAAAGGTAAGGCCTTGAGGCGCCGGGCATCCCTGAAGGTGTGAAACCCTCCCCGGCAACATGTCCGGCCCGATTTGCTTTCCAGAAACATTCCTGGAAAGCCAACCCTGCGTGGAGAAATGCCTGCTTGGGGGCCATCCCGCAGCCTCGTCTGCTGGGGCTTAAATCAGGCAGGCCGAAGCAAGCCTGGCGAGATGCAGGCTCCCCCGCGAGTTTGTTGGGATACAGACCCCTTCCAGGCTTCACTGTGTCACTCCCTCTCGTTTTTCAGGAGCCTGAGGCACGTGGAGAATCACAGCCTTGAAATAAAAACCTCTGCTGTGTTTTAACTCACATCTGAGGAGCCTGAATCCGGTGTTCATAACATCAGTACAAACACAAGCAGGGTGTGTTTCCCTTGCGCTGACAGTCCCCGTTTTCTCTGAAACCTGTCCCTTTCTAGGACAGTTTTGATGAGCCGTGCGGGTCTGCTCCAATTTTGACTCCCACGTGGAAGGACAGAGCTTGGGAATTGCCCAGGGATGACTCATTAACGCCCTTTCAGATCCTTCTAGCTGAAACACAGCGCGTTTTAAACTATAATGTAATATTCGTAGCATTACGGCAAGGTTTTTGTAAATATTTCTCTTACCCCAACATCTTAAAGCCCTTTAATTTTAAAAAGGAGATCTGAATGATGCCCTCACTGTGGTAGTTTTTCTCAGCACTCAAGCTAAAAATAATTGATGAGCAATGAATTTGTACTTGCTTCTTTATATAATCTGAGGGGGCCATTCCAGAGGTGCGACTCTTCCAGAATCAGGCTGGATGCATGCGGTTTTTACTTTGCTTAAACTTGAAGCTTTCAGGTCTAGCGTGCAGGTGTAGCTTTACTTGTGTATTAGCTGCTGAGACTGTGGAGACAGTCAAGGAGCGTCCACAGCGATCGCCCCATCTCCCTTGGTGATGAGTCGGTGGAGAAAACATCTCATTAATTTCCCGGGGTGGTTCTGCAGGCTGTGGGTCTGACGTTGATTGAGCGGCACAGTCGTGTTGCGTAGCGTTACGGCAAGGTTTTTGTAAATATACACTCTGTGTGAGCGTCAGCAATGCTTTGTTTAGGTGTTTGGTTTTAGCTGGGATACATCTTTGTATTTGGGGTGCTTTTGCAGCTGGATGTGCCTTCTTTATATTTCATATGGAATTGTTGTGATTAGGTTTGTTCAGTGTTGGCAACTTGGGCATCATTTAAAGATAACAGTCCGTCGCTGAAATCTGTACCTCAGAGGCTTTAGGATAAATCAACTGATTTCTTCAGTGTGGAGGGGGAACGCCACAAACCTGTGCAGGGAGCGTAGTGCCATTAATAAAGGTGATGAGAGACCACAGGAGAACAGGGCAGCCGAGCCAAAAACCTGCGGAGTTTGATGTTTATGCTCTCGCCGACTCCCTGTAGTCTGAATAGCTGGAAAGTTCCCGGCATCTCGAGGAGGAAGCTTGGAGAGTCGCTTCTTATCTTGTAAGTGCCCGTTGCTCCCTCTCCTTCATGGCACCTGCATTGGCGGCATGGCCAGGGTCCCCTTGGTGCTTTTTTCCCTGCGGCAGTGGTGCCACGCTCTGAGGTAATGCTGTTTAATTTCAGTTACCTTGACTGTGTCGGCGTGATCTGTCCCCCGGGAGAGCAGAGCCTAAAATCTGGAGGTTTACGTTTCTTGGTTGAATCTCCAAGACTTGTTTTTAAGAGAAATAAGAACTTTTTTGGAGATGGGAAAAGCCTAGGCGTTATTTCTGATGGTTTTTTTCCTTTTTGGCTATCTGCATTAAATAGAAATGAAGGTTGAAGTTCATGATATTAGACAACCATCTATTGGTAACTATAATTATAAAAGGTGGGGTTTCTGATGTTCAGAATGACTTTTGAAATGTCCTTAATGCTTTAGAGTCACATAAAAATTGAATTGATGTCTCCATTTCTGCTGTTTAAAGTCGTGCAAATGTGTAGGATGAGCAAGATGGGAGCAGTGCTCAGGCAGGTGAACAAGCGAAACAGGGGAAGGTCTAAGTAGGAGTTTATGAACAGTCTTGATATTTGAGACTTGGCAGATAATTCACAACCTAAAGCTAATATAAATTTAAATTAGATCTGTAAACTAAGCCAGTGGAGAAAGTGGGGAAGGTTTTGCCTTCAGCTATTAGGTATGCTGCCTCGGAGGGAGTTGAGGGCAGACATGGACAGCAATGGGAGCTCATCATGTTGCTTTATACAAACTTCCTTCTTAAATATTCCAGTTAACAAAGGTTATGTGCTTTAGTCCCTAGCTCGTCTGAAGTGTCTTTGCACCATTAATTAAGATTTGGCTGGCTTTGTGAAAGCAGCCTGTTCTTCCAGAAGAATCAGCTAGCCTGAAATGAGAGATCTTACCTTACTGAAAAGAAAAAAAGGGGGATTTCCCCCCCTTGATGTTTTCCATCCTGACTGTGCTTGACTGTATTCTCTCAGGGCAAGTTTGATGTTACCGCCGGACCGATCATGTGCCTGGTAGGTCCTCCTGCTTCCCCGAGAGTCACCGCTTCTGAGTGGGTGTTTTTCTGGTGGTTTAACTCCCCAGAGTGGTTCACCCCATGACCTGATGGTTGCAGGCATTCAGGGGGCACGAGGCTGTGGAGGTTCTTTGTCAGAATAGCAGCAAAGTGCTGTTGGGCTCGGCAGCGGGTTGCAAAAACAACGTTCAAAAGGGTGCACGATGGAGGAGGTTCAGCCTTGCAAACGCAGAGGATGTAAAACCAGGAGGTGTAAGCAGTCGGCTGGAGCTTGGTTCCTCACTTGCTAAATGCGTTTGAAACTTTCTGAAATCGGGGCTTTACGGTGAAATAAACCTAATTCTTTGAGGTGGTGGGCAGCATATGCTAAGTGGAGTTTTGCGAGGCAGGTTGTGAAGACCAGCTCTCTAAGGTGTTGTAATATTATTATATTATTGTCATCATGATATATTTTTATTGTATTGATAATTACAAAGTTTTCAGAGTGGTCAGAAATTAAAGGCTGGCAAGCCTACTGTATCTGAACATCTGCGAGAGTCAGTGTGCCCTGTTTTCATCATTCATCATTGAAGGATGATGGTTATCTAGATTATTAGGGCGATTTCTTAAATGATCCCTGCCAATGTTTGTAGCACAGCTGAGGTTTCGTACCTGCAAAGAGTTGCCCTGATCAGTGCTGCTGTTCTGCGGCAGTGAAGCAGTCACAGACATCTCATTTGAAGAACAAATGCTCAGATTTCACCAAGGCTGTGAAAACTGTAAAAAAACCCTGTGACTTGGGGCCAACAGCTCTTGCACAGCATTTCCTTTTGGCAAAAGCCTGCCTGCCAGGATTTTTGTTGGACTCTTCATTACAGTGGGCAATAAAAAATGGATAAGGGTGAACAGTTCTGTCTTTCTTTCCCTTTTAATAGTCTTATTTTGGAGGAGCAGAGTGGGAAAGGACTCTGTGCTGGCAGATCTTTTGTATTTTATGTCCTGGGCTGCTGAAAGAGTTCTCAGACATATAACTTCATTTTCGCAGGCTTTAAGGTCATATCCCACTTTCTGTAGATGTATGGTGGGCTGGATAATCCTTCTGTCATCACCAGAGAATTAAATGCTCTTGGTGGCTTTTTGTAGCCAACAAAAATCTTTTTGTCTTTCTTCCCTCCTGCTGTTTCCCAAGCAGCAGGTTTGCTAACAGGCATCATCTTGGAAGGGGGAGCCCCCACTCTGAGATACGGACTCTTGGGCAAAGATGACCGGCCAAGGTGAAATGGAGGGTCTGACAAACAGTGGTCTGCCAGTGGTGATTGCAACCCGGTTTTACCAAACAGCCCTACAATTTTCTTGAGCTTCATTGTAAAGGAAGTTAAGGAGTTAGATGAGAGCTGCGGGGCAAAGTTCAGAAACAAAAAAGTGCAATTCTCTGCCCGAAGGTGATCTCATAAAGATAACAAACCCCAGTATTTATCTGCCTGTGAAAAGCTGGCTCGTCAAAAAACTGTGGTCTGTTCCACGTCGTACTGCATATATGTAGTGACTTTGCTTGTGGTGATTTGTCTACTATAGAAACTGGATGGCTTCTACGGTGAGCCTGGGTAAAGAAACATTGTTGGAAGATGGAATACCACCTGCAAAAAAGCCCAGGTAAATTTAATTCTACTCCAGTGAATGTCTTCTAATAAGAGCTTTTTTCCGTAACCTTGCATTGTTCTTTAAAGAGCATGACACTTGGCACCAAGCCCCACCAGTCGTTTGGTTGCTGATCCAAGAAAAGCGCGCTGACTCTAGCCGTGCCCTGTGTTTTCCTGCGGTGCATGGAACAAAGGCCTTAACGCCCAGACCGTACTTTGCTGCTGGGGTTTTTTTTAACCCCTAAGCCAGGATGCACGGTTGCACGAAAAGCTGGGTTCTGCTGTACTGTCTCCGTGGTTTTAGCTCAGGTCCTGTCCACACATCAGGTCTGATGGTCGTGCTTTTTCACTTGAGTTGGACAGCGGTTCCTGGGAGGACAGGCAGTTACTCAAATTAGTATGATTTTCCTGCGTGTAAAGGCTAAATAATTCCCCTCTGGAGGCTCCCCATGCTAATATGGAGCTTGTCTTACAGTTCTCCAAGTGGAGACTTGAGCATGATGCTTACTTGAGCCATACTCACACTTCGGACCATCCAGGGTTGGTACTGTGGCTGCTGCGATAGCACGGGCTCAGAAATTAAGGCATTGCCGTCTGCAAACGAGCAGCTAATTCATTTAGGGAGTTGTCTTCCACTAATCTGGTTTATTTACCAGTTATGGAGGGCTGGAGAATAGTTTCTGTGAGAGAGCCCTGGTCTCAAGGTTGATCTAGTGGCTGTGGAATGAGCAGAAAAAAAGGCTGGGGGGTTATTTTTAACTTGCTCAGGATATCAGGGTAGAAACAAGTGTATTTATCAGCATGGGAACAGAATGCCTGTTCCAGAGATGTCGCACAGGATGTTAACACTTCCATATTCGTTACTATTTTGGATTTTAGTCCCTAGGTTTCTGGTTATGTTTTTATACCAGCTTGTTAGAATGAATACTAATTTATTCTTTGTGGGTGAAATTTGCAGTGCCAAAATTAAAACCCATTTATCGCCGCTAACAGTGAAGGATTTCCTCAAGAAAAGGGTTAATTCGTCTGTTTTCATAGGCAGCAGTGAAGGGAAGGCAAAACTCCATCTGTGTGGTATCGGTTTCCTTTCCCCTTCTCGCAAAATATCACATGTTTGCAGATAAAAAACATTCCTTCCAAATGAGCTGCCTCCCCGGGCTGCTGCTTCCGTCCTTTGGGAAGCTGCAGCTGGTCCCCTGCTTCAGAAAAGCAGATTGACACCAGGCGAGGCATGATGAGGAGAAGCACATCTACTTAATAAATAACAAATTTCAAAGCGCTGTGCAGGTATAAAGCTAGGAAAATAGAGAAGAGGGGAGGAAGAAGATGGAGAATATAGCCGCACAGCTCTTTCATGAGACTCTTTGTATCATCTGGGCTTCCAAAAGATTGGCTTCGGGCATCCTGCTTACACTGCAAGCGTAGCAGGAAAGGGATTTCTGCTACGGCCACGTCCTGCTGAGGGATCTTCTCTGCAAAGAGGGTCCAGGAGGTGGGAAGGTCCTCGCCAGGGCAGAGCTGGGAGGAAGCCTTTGCTTCCTTCCTTTTGTGCTGGGATAAATGGGGCTGCTGTCTTCAGGCCCCCGTTTGGTACCTTATTTAAACCAGGAGCAGTCACAGTTGTGTTTACTCCCTGCGTGGGGGTCTGATGCGTGCTTTCTCTCAGTATGTAAAAAGTGTGTATGTGTCTCTGCAGTCATTGATAACACATTCCATATGGCTCACCCCACCTTTTCCACTGTCTCCAGCCTTTCTGCTAGCTTCCAGTTAACTGTTATTAACAAGACCTCTCTTATTCCAAATGTTAATTTAATTAGTTTTTCTTCAGAAGTATTCCTGGGCAGTATCGACTTCCCCAGTAACAGACTCGATTGCCAAATATCTTGTAATTACTTACGTTGTGGTCACTTGTGATTTTGGTCCATGGAGCTGTGCACTGTCTTTAAGGGATACTGAGCTGCTCCTCTCATCCTCTGTTTATCAGAGGACCCTAATGGACATGTTGACTCAAAATTTAGGCAGAGGGTACCTCCCTTGTCCTCCGTCTGCATTTTCCACGACCCCAGACATCCTTCCATCTATGATGGTACCAGCTGTGCTACTTTCTGCTCTTGCAGGAAACTGTTGCCAAGCCTCAAAACCAAGAAGCCTCGGGAACTTGTTTTGGTGATCGGGACAGGAATCAGTGCAGCAGTTGCTCCCCAGGTCCCAGCGCTGAAGTCTTGGAAGGGGTTAATCCAGGCCCTCCTGGACGCTGCTATTGACTTCGATCTGCTGGAAGATGAAGAGAGCAAACGGTTTCAAAAGTGTCTTCACGAAGACAAGAACTTGGTTCACGTTGCCCACGACCTTATCCAGAAGCTGTCTCCGGTGAGTGTGCTTGTAGGGCTGCACGTAAATATTCGGGATCCCGCCCTGAGCATGGGGTTTTGGAAATAGCCAAATTTGGTTCTCCAGCGTGGCCCCATCTCCAGTGATTCCTCTATCTACAGGGAACCACAAGTGTAGTTACTGTGCCAGGTTCCTGAGACATAACCCTGCTGTGAACACCAGCTTTTGGGAAATTTACTCGGAGTATGCTGGGGGGGAGGTACCCGCCTCGTGGCAGTAAGTGCTCTGGTTTTGCCTTGCAAGGACCTGTATCTTTGCAGAGGTCTTGAAGAAATATGTGGGTAGTTTTTCATCGAGTCATTTGGCGAGAAGCATTACGAGAAGCCTGACTGATCTTAATCTGTCTCCCCTTCTCAGCGCACAAGCAATGTTCGCTCAACCTTTTTCAAAGACTGTTTGTACGAGGTGTTTGATGACCTGGAATCTAAAATGGAAGATTCTGGGAAACAGCTGCTTCAGTCTGTGCTCCACTTAATGGAAAACGGGGCACTTGTGTTAACCACAAACTTTGATAACCTGCTGGAACTGTACGCAGCACACCAGGGGAAGCATCTGGAGTCTCTTGACCTGACTGATGAAAAGAAGGTAAACGATGATGTTTTTTTTTCTGTCAGGGCTGAGCTGGGACAACGCAGGACAGTGGCAGCTGTGGGATGTGCCCTCACGCCCGCGTAAGGGGATTGTGCTGTTCATTTAAATGATGTTAGACAAACTCCAAGCGAAGGCTCTGACCATTTGGGGCAGTGAGCGGGGGAATGAAGACAAATGCTCGTTTCTGAAATGCTGTGCTTGCTGGCTGACATCCATTGCTCAGGAGGAGCCCTTAAGCCTGGTATTTCTTTGATCTCTGTCCTTCTGGCTTCAGCTTCTGGCTTGGCCTTGCTGAAGTACTGTAAGCCTCGCTTCTACATAAGGCCTGGGTCGATGTTTCTAACCAACATGGGAAACTCCATGCGAGAGACAAAGCTGACCTTTCTATTTTTATACCATGCTGCAGAGTGCTTTTTTGTGACGGAGCGGTTTCGGGGCCGTAGCCTCTGAGGCTTCCTTCTTGCTCCACATCCTCTTTCTGAAATGGCCGGATAGCTCCTGCTGGGTCACTCTGTGTGTTCCAGCCGTGCTCTTCTATTTGTAGCCGCTCACTGCATGCAAGCTTCCCTCCTTTTGCCCCAGGTCTTCAGGCAGGCTGTAAATCAGACTTGTGAAACCCTGAGCTCTTCGCCACCTGCCCCCCTCATCTTTCCATCGTGGGTTTTACTAGTGGGGAGCATCTTGTTCTTCTGGTTGCTTATTAAACACACGCCACATGTAGGTGCTGTGCAGTACTTGGTCTCTTTCCATTCTGACTCATTTCTCTGCTTTATGTTTCCCGTGTGACCTCTTAATCTGCATGGCTGGAAGTAGTTAGTGTGTTACAAATAAGCATTCTAATTATTGCAAGCTTAAACGAGCTAAGGTCTACAGGAGTAAACAGCCTCAAAAGTAGCTTTCTGAAATGAAGGTCAGCTGTTGAGCTCCCTTAGAGCTTCTCAGAGCCTAAAGAGGCCAAGAAATAAAACTATGTAGGCTTGAGGAACATGCTGACAATATTTCTAGAGTCTTTCCCCTTTTTCTGCTGGGTCTGGTGTATTGTTTTGCTCTCTTCCCATTGCGTTTGCCATTCAAGTGAAGCGTTAACCCAAACAAGCAGCGTGGGCTGGGATGTGGAGGCGGAGGGACTCATGACCTGTTGAGGAGATGAAGAAGAAGCTGCCTCTGAAACGCTTCCCCAGAATGGTGTTTTTAACATCACCATGGATGGAAGCTAGCGTGATGCGCTGGCTAACATTTTTGGAGGGGTTTGTTTCACACAGGTGCTGGAGTGGGCGCAAGAGAAGCGGAAGCTTAGCGTCCTGCATATCCACGGTGTTTACACCAACCCCAGTGGCATCGTGCTCCACCCGGCCGGGTACCAGAACGTGCTGCGCAACACGGAGGTCATGGTGAGGCAGCCCTGCCTTCTCTCTCTGCGGGGCGTACTTTGGGGTCCCATACGTTGTGTATATACATCTCCCACTTCCCTGGCAAGCCCATGTGTTAACCAGCCATAGACTCAGCTGAGTTTAAAGACTGAGCTTCACACAGGGTGGTGGGACAGTCCTTAATTTTGTGAAATAGAAGAGGAGGGATGGATTCTCCAGCCCGCTAAGCTGCAAAAACACCTCACCACGCTTGTGTTGAGGCTGATTGAACGGTGGCACTCCTGCAGAGCCTCATCAGTGATAAGGCAGATGCTGTCTCTTGTGCCTTGTGAAGATAAAGCTTGCCTTGACTAAGAACATCTTTCCCTTTTTTAAAGCGAGAGATTCAGAAGCTGTATGAAAATAAGTCATTCCTGTTCTTGGGCTGTGGTTGGACTGTTGATGACACCACGTTTCAGGCCCTGTTTTTAGAGGCTGTGAAGCACAAGTCAGACCTGGAGCACTTCATGCTCGTACGGAGGGGAGACGTGGATGAGTTCAAGAAGCTCCGCGAGAACATGCTGGACAAAGGGATTAAAGTGATTTCCTACGGAGATGAATACACAGACTTGCCCGAGTACTTTGAGAGGCTGACGAGCGAGATCGCCATGCGGGGCCGAACAGGTACAGGGGTTATGGGCTGTGTGCACCCACCATCTCCGCCCTCGCCTCGGGGATCCTGTCACACACAACGCAGCTCTTGACTGTCACCAAGGACTTTGGAGTGTAGGCAGTGTTAATAGCCCCTCCTCTATGCTATATTATTCCTTAACCTTTTTTTTTTCCCCAAAAAAATTGCCAGTGTAGCTGAATTTGGGGTTTACTTTTATGAAATCACTGTATGTTCTTATAGTTTAAACAGCTCTGCTGCTTCCCACACATCCCAATATTATTTTTAATGGGCAGCTGCAGTTGTTTATTCCCTTTCTAGTGCAAGGGCATGTCAGTCTTGCTGACCTTTGTGCTGCTCAGCCTGAGGTAATGCTTTAACTCACAAGAGATCTCGCTAACAAATCATAAAAGTGGGGAAAAGAAGTGAGTTTCCTAGCCAGCGCCTTGCTGGCACGTGTTACGAGGGTAAAACCCAGCCAGGAAAGCCTGTTGTGTGAAACTACTGCACGCTGACCACATCACTTGGCGGGCTTGCTGTTCACACAGGAGCTCCCTGGCTCTGCGCAGTCACCTCAGGGTTGCCTTTTCTACCCAGCCGTTGCTCTCTGCTCTCTCCTAGGTGTGCCTAAGGAGGGACAACAGCTGAACGGCTCTGCTGCTGCCCACGCTGAGATAAAAGGTAAGACTCCCCTGAGCTGCGAGAGGCTTCGCCCCTTCTCACCCCTTGGCCAGTCCCTGGGAGCCCGGCGGCCTCTCCGGCAGGTTTTACCTCCCTGCAGGATGCAGCACTTGAGCATCAGCCTCGCCCCAGGAGCTGTGCCGCGGCGGGGGACTCCCTGGGACGGGCCTAAGGCAGAGCCGGCAGCTCTCAGGGAGGCCGGGGAGGTTTAAGGCTGGTCTAGGTGAGGAGCGAAGGCTGCTGCTGCCCGAGCTGTTACCCACACACACCCCCGAGCCGAGCCGGGATGCCTCAGGCACAAGAGAGGCCGGGGCAGAGCCTCCTCCTCCGACGGACGTCTGGTTTAACATAGTCATTATCTTTTTATCAAGGTTCCACATGCCTGGGGAGCATGGTCTCCCCAAGGGAGCTGCAACCCCCTCTAATTTCATACTTAGTGCTTTTGTATTCTGTACTTTTAATTAAAACCATGAAACTTGAGCTTTTTTTTTTTTTTTTTTTTTTTTTTTACTCGAAGCTCTAGTTTTCTAGTCTTGTCTTTATACTGTACAGTATTTTGTATGTTGAAGCTTGCATTAAAGACTTGTTCACTTAACTTTTGGCTGGTGTGTGACTTGCACACCCTCTCAAACACCTCACACAGGCAGGAGTTTGTCTCCGCACCCGGAGGAGGAAATAGGTCCTGGCTGGAGGCAAGTTATTTATACACTGAAAACAAATTATGAAGTTTATTTTATATAAATTATGTCTCTTAGCAGACAGCATTCAATTTATTGCACTATAGCACATCTGCGATACAGAGCTACAAGACATTGTAAGAGTTTTGTATTATTCAGTGTAGCACTTCAGACCAGGATCAAGAGGCACTCGAATGGGGGGGGAAGAAAGGGTGCAGGAAAGCAGCAAGCAGCCACTGTTATCTTCCAGCATTAACGTTGGGTTTTTTGCCTTTTTCCTAGCAAATAACGCTGAGGCCAGCAGGCAGAAGGCAGGGAGGGGCACCCTGCCTGCCTTCTCCAGCCACCGTTAGCACTCTCAGACCAAGCTCTCCACCTCCTGCCCAAATAGGTGGTGTCCAGGGACCCTGCTCCAAAGTCCCAGTGACGACAGAAACGGGGACCTTAAGGCAATTTAGCATCTCCCCTCCAGCCCAGCACAGGCCGTCACCATTTTTGGTTTATCAGCTTCGGTGGAGCTGCCATTAGCAGCGACATTAACAGCCAGATCTTCTCAGGCTGCCACTGAGCAGCAGCGGTCCTGCCTGCCCCTGACAAGTCACTCCTGCATCCTCCCTAAACTGGTCTAAAAAAAAAAAAAAAAAAAAAAAATCAAAAGCAGCTCAAAAACACCACCTTCAACCCCCACCCCCCAAAAAAGCACAGCAGGTCCTTGCGCTGCCTACCTCCCCATGCAGCACAAACAATACAAAGCTCTGGATTCAGCCTCCCCACGAGGGAGCCTGTGTCACTTAAAACAGAACGAAGGAACCCAGGGGAAGGGCTTTTGCTGGATAAAAGGGCTTTTTATCCAAAAGAAGCACCCCTCACGCCCCTCTCCCTTCGTTCTGTTCTGCACTACACGGGAAAGACTAGTCGGTAACGGGGTAAAGCATGTTCTTCTCAGACATCTGCAAACACAGCGATTTGGTGGGTTTTTAGGCCTTCATGAGCGCTGCGACCACGGCCTTGGCGTTAAGGCTTCGCAGATCACAGTAAGTTTGTCCGGTACCAACGAAAACGATGGGCTTGCTCGTGATGTAGGTCATGGAGATGGCGGCGCCGACCTGCCGAGGACAAGCAGCACCGTTAGCCTGCAAACCCAGCGCCACCCCCTCAGGGGAACGCGTGGAAAAGCTCGTCAAATATTCATCTGCCTCCTCTTTTCTGATCTGTATGGTCCCTACGGGCCCTGCTGCGCTTGCCCTGTGAGACCTCACAGCCCTGTTTTCCACAGGCACAGAAACCAGGCTGCTGGATTTGGTTCAAATGACTGAAATGCAAGAGGAAGGCGGGGGCCGGCGGCGAAGCGGCCCATGGTTGGCAATTTCATTGGCGCCCTTACCTTGTCATCGATGGTATCGAACTTGGTGAGGACAATCCCGTCGATGAGCCGCGGCGTCTGGGCCATGGAGTGATCAGCCAGGGCCTTGTTGAACTTGACCTGAGGGAGAGAACAAACCCAAGAAACGCATTTGTCCAAATTTCTGATTAAAAAAAAAAAAAAAAAAAAAAAAAAAAAGGGATTTCCTTCCCCCCCTCAATCTTTCGAGGAAAGAAAGCCTCAAAACTCACCAGCTGATCCACAGCTTCATTTCCCACCAGCGCTTCCCCAACGAACAGGACCAGGTCAGGAGCATTGACGGCGATGAGTTTGGCCAGCGCCGTCATCAAGGGAGCGTTGTCCTGCATGCGCCCCGCCGTGTCCACCAGGACCACGTCAAAGCCTTGGTTTCGAGCTGGGGGAAGACGAGGAGGCAACCTCGAGCAGGACGCTCCCCTGAAACGACGTCTCCCGCCACTGGTTTCCCCCACCTACCGTAAGAGATGGCCTCCATTGCAATCCCCGCGGCGTCCTTGCCGTAGCCCTTCTCGTAGAGCTGCACCATGGTCCGCCCGCCGTGGCTCTCGGGAGGGTGCAGGGTGTTGAGGCGACGGGTGTGGGTGCGGAGCTGCTCCACCGCTCCCGCGCGGAAGGTGTCGCAGGCAGCGATGAGGACGCTGAAACCGTTCTCGATGAGCCAGAATGAGATCTGTCAATAGCAACGCATCCGAAAAAAAAAAAAAAAAAAAAAAAAACACCAAACCCATTAGCAGCCACAGTCTGAGCTCAGCACCGGTCTCAAGAGAACCAGGAGGATCACGTCCTACCTTGGCCAGGTTCGTGGACTTCCCAACACCATTGACGCCACAGAAAGTGACCACGTAGGGTCGGTGATGGCGCTGGGCATCCATGACATCACGGAGGACGTCCACGCGGCGCTGAGGCTGCAGGATCTGCACGAGAGCCTCCTGCAGGGCCTGCTTCACCGTCGAGGTCACCGCTGGGGAGGAGGAGATGGAAAGACAACCCCGTCACAGCCAGGGAATGCTCCTGAGCCCCAAAGCACAAGCAGGAGGCTACGTGGCCACTTACTGGTGAACGTTCCCATCACCTTCCCTTCCAGTTTCTTAGCCACCGATTCGCAGAGCTGGACTGCAATCTCAGCTGCCACGTTTTTTGCTTTGAGAAAGAGATAGAGAGAGGGGAGTTAGCCCTGCTGAGGGGGTTACACATGCCAGACATCAGCATCAAAGGAAGGATGCAGTCGGCGTGCAGGATCCCCACCAGCCTAGACTGTTGCCCCACCTTTTGGATATGCTGTCGAGGCCTCCCCAGAGGTGAGACAGGAACCCGCCATGTCCCAAACCATAGCTCCCACCTGATGGAGCGCAAGGAACCACCTCAAACTAACCCACTTACAGCAGATCCAGACCTACCAATCAAGTGATCCTTCATCTTCTCCAGTACTGGGTCCATGTCCTCTCTTGTCAAGCTCTTGGAGCCCACCAGGCCTTTCAGCATGCCAAACATGCCCCCCAGGCCACCCTTCTTCACACTGCAGAGAAGCAAAGGAGTTACCTTTAGGTTCTAGGAGCAAGTTGCACAGGGCAGGCAATGGCCAGAGGCAAGAAGAGCCCACTACGCAGCAGAAACACACCAGTTTGTCCCCAACTGCGTTACTGGTTGGACCAGAAGAGGAGCTGGGGGAGAGAAATCAAGAAGTGTGCAGTAAGCGAGAGCTGCAGGAGCCTCTACCTGGGTTTTGAAGGGTTCTGAATAACCTTCTCCTCTTCAGCTTCATCATCGCTCTCATACTCAAGGTCGTAAAGGCGGCCAGGCTCCCTGTTTCGATCCCCCAGGGCCTGCGAGGGAGGAAAAGACTCGCCCTGAAAATCAGCAACTGCTTTCGGTCACCTCGCCCTGCCCGCTTTCTCTGTCCTTGGCAGTGACAACAGTTATGGCTATCAGCAGACAGCTCTGCAGAGATCTTTGCCGTAAGGGCTCAAAGGAAAAAAAGAGCCTTTAGGCAGCAGCCTTATGGGCTGGGCGTGGAGATCCCTGGTTTGGGGTTTGCAACGCCCAGCTGATCTCAGAACAATGTGCTAAAGCAGACACAAAAACCTGGCTTTGCCTTACTGTATCAGGGTCAAATTCCTCCACGGGACAAGCCTCTGCGCTTCCGTTGGTTGCGGAGTTACTGTAATCAAGTACTTTGGCATTAGAGTTCCCCAGATCCCACACTCGGGGCTTCTTCCCCTTCTCCTTCTGCGCCTCGGGCTTTGGAGATTTGCTGAAACAAAGATCAGAAACGCGTTTTGTTCAGTGCAGGGAAGCAGCAGCAATCACTTCCTTAGAAGGTGTGAAAACTAAAAGCCCCGATTACCCAAAAAGGCAGAAATAAAGGCTAAACCTGGCTGATTGCATCTCCAGAGTTTATTTACCTGAACTTTAACCCTGTATCAGACCACTTTACCTCAAGCCAGGTATCGACGCACCGCTGCCCTTTGCTCACAGCGGGAAAGCCTCACCAAAATGAGGTCGGGACCTCTCCCAGGCACACGCTGGGTTTCTGGGTCTCCCAGGGAAGGGATCAGGCTCTATTACCCCTCCAGGAGTTCCAGCATGCCCTCTCACAGTCTCTCCAACAACAGGGAAATAAGGAAAAGGGAAATAAGGTCCAGAAAAGCAAGGTTTGACTTCCAGGGGTCACTGAAGGAAGGACTCAGCTACGAGGTGACTGACCATGTCCTCCTTACCCACCTGGACTTCTCCCCTGCCTTCATGTGTCTCTTGAAGAATTCCTCCCGGTTCTTTTGCAGGATTTCATCCTTGGTCAGTTCTTCCCTGTCCCCAGCTGCGGAGAGCTGCTTGTCACCCACAGGCGCTTTACCGGGTGCTGTGACAGCTTCGGTTCCTGACAGAAAGAGCCCCGACACAAGCTCAACCCAGCATTTGGGCGCTACGAGGGGACTGGCAAAGCACAAGCTGGAGCTCAGAGCTCTGGAATCTTTATTCCCCCCCCTTCCAATATGTTTGCTAACAACTCACCCTCTTTTTTCGAACCTTTGTTCTTCTTGTTCTTGACTTTCTCCTTTGGTTTCTCCCCTCGGGTTTCTATCATACACTTGACAGTCTTCTGGGACTTGAGAGACTGCTCAAACGTCTTCATTACCGTGGGAGCTCGGACTTTACTGCTCTCCTCTGCATCCCTGCGGGGAGGTGGCCCGTTAGCCTGAATTTCAGCTCTGCCTCCCCGCCCCCTCCCAGCCATCTCTGTTCTAAATGAAAACGTGAGAGAAAAATCACGCTCTGCTACCGGAGAAGGCGCATGAAGTCATCTTTAAAATCGAAGGTGCCATTTAGGAGGCCCAGGGTGCCTTTCTGCTGGAATTCATTGCGATACTTGTCTCTGAACTCCTTATGAACGTCATCTATCAACTTGTCGACGTAGGTTAGAGTCAGGATCTTCTGAAACCCCACCTGCAAAGAAGCCCAGCAAAAAGATGTTGCTTTTCCAGCTAATTTAATTACAGCATCTAGCTGGCAAGGATGCGAAAACCTGTCCTTTCGATACAGAGTTCTTTAATTTTGGCAGCCTTCAGGCTACATTTTCTGGTCTGACTTTCCAAGCTTTTAATATGCTCTCAGAAAGCAAGAAAAAAAAAAAAAAAAAAGGCACAGCCCAGGGCTTCACTTTAAAAGGCGACACCGATAAAAATGGATTGACTGCTTCATGGCAACAAAGACACGTAGCGAAATACCAGAAAGCGTTTTGCTTATCTTTAGGTACACAACGAAGGTTGCGTGGATTTACAGAGATAAGGTACAGGGATACTGAAAGGGAGAGCATTAAAATATTTGCTAAAGTAAAAGGGATGACACATTTCTGTGTTTTTTAAATAGATCTGGTCAAAGTAAAAACTTTTATTAGGGTGTAGCAGCCTGCAGAGTTTCGATTTGAGGTTTAATGAGTTTTAATCCCATCGCAGATGATTAAATAACTTGCAGGTGATTTTTCCTAACGTACGATCCCCAGCGTGCTGGCTCTTCCGCCAGGCCGCCAAGCACCCCCCTTTTCTGGGGTAACCCCACTCCCTCAGGGTTTGGGAGTGCCCTGGGGAGGCTGGAGGGGTCACTTACCACAAACACCAGCTCAAACTGGTTGTCCAGTTTGTATTTAAGCGTGAGGGCTTCATGGGTGAAGGAGTTGTTGCCACCTCGCTCCTAGGGGAGAGGAGCCATCGGAAGGGGGGGTGCCAGCAGCGAGGAGACACCCCTCTTCCATCATTCCTATCACATCAATCCCCCACCCAAAAAATTGGTCCCTGTCACATCAACCCCCCCACCCAGAAAATCGGTCCCTGTCACATCAACCCCCCCACCCAAAAAATTGGTCCCTGTCACATCAATCCCCCACCCCAAAAATTGGTCCGTCACATCAACCCCCCCCCCAACCCAAAAAATTGGTCCCTGTCACATCAACCCCTCCACCCAAAAAATTGGTCCCTGTCACATCAATCCCCCACCCCAAAAATTGATCCCTGTCACATCAACCCCCCCACCCCAAAAATTGGTCCCTGTCACATCAAACCCCCCCACGCAAAAAATTGGTCCCTGTCACATCAACCCCCCCACCCCAAAAATTGGTCCCTGTCACATCAATCCCCCACCCCAAAAATTGGTCCCTGTCACATCAACCCCCCCCACCCAAAAAATTGGTCCCTGTCACATCAACCCCCCCCACCCAAAAAATTGGTCCCTGTCACATCAACCCCCCCACCCCAAAAATTGGTCCCTGTCACATCAAACCCCCCCCACCCAAAAAACTGGTCCCTGCCACATCAACCCCCCCACCCAAAAAATTTGTCCCTGTCACATCAATCCCCCACCCCAAAAATTGATCCCTGTCACATCAACCCCCCACCCCAAAAATTGGTCCCTGTCACATCAATCCCCCACCCCAAAAATTGGTCCCTGTCACATCAACCCCCCCACCCAAAAAATTGTCCCTATTACACCAACCCCCCCTACCCCAAAAATTGTCCAGCCCCCACTCCCGCTCCCATTCTTCCCCTCCAAATGGGTCATTCCCCGCCCCACGATGGTCCCAACCGCCCCCCCCATCCCAAACAGATGGTCCCAACCGTGTCACCCCCGCCCCCTAAGGGTAGGTGGACCCACCCGTCGCCCCCTCCCAAAACAACGCGTGTGTGTGCTGTGTGTACGTCCGCCCCCCCTTCCCTCCCCCAGCGGGTGGTTCCGCCTGCACTCCCCCCCCCCCTCAGCCAGATGGTCGCACCCAACCGCCGTTCCCGTTCCGTACGCCCGCCGCCGCCGCCGCCGCCACCGACCTGCAGCAGGACGGAGCGGATGAGCGCGTTGACGGGAGCGGTAGCGGCGGCGGCGGGCCCGCGGACCCCCTGGAAACACCAGAGGACGAGGCCGCCCTTGCTGAAGATGGTGAAAAAATCGAGCATGGCGGCGGCGGCGGCGGCGGCGGCGCCGGGCCCGGCTCCGCGCACACGTCGCACAGCCCGCGCTTCCGCCGGAAGCTGCCGCCCCTCTGCGCCCCCCCCCCATTGGCGGAGAGGGCAGAAAGAGGCGGGGCGGCGGCAGGCGAATGGCAAGAGAGAGGGGCCCGGCCGTGAGGAGGAGGGGGGCGTGGCCTAGCGGCGGGAGGGGGCGTGGCCTAGCGGCATGCTGCGGGGGGGGCGCGCACTCCGCCGGCTGAATGGGGGCTGGGGGGGCCCGGGGGGTACCCCGGCAGCGGGAGGGGCTCCGCCCCGACCCCTCCGCACCGCCACGCCGCTCAGATCCGACATCTTCCGCGGTGAGACGCGGCCCTGGGCACCGGGGGGGCGGTTCGTGGGGATTTGGGGGGGGGTCCCGGGGCGAGGGGTCGTGCTGAGGGGTCTGAAGGGGGTCTTGGGGGGGGGGTCCCAGGGGACTGGGGTGCGTTCTGAGAGGGGACTGGGGGCACCCAGGGGGGGCTGGAGCCTGGGGGGGAGGAGTACCAGGAGAAACTGGAGGGGAGGAACGGGGGTGGGGTCGTGGGGGGGTCCCAGAGGGGACTGGGGAAGGGGTTCCCAAAGTGGGGTTAGGGGATCCCAGGAGACTGGGGGGGGGGGGTCCCAAGGTGGGATTTGGGGGTCCCAGGGGACTGAGGGGAAGTCCTGGGGGTCCCTAAGGGGACTGCTAGGATCGAGGAGGAACTGGGAGGGGTCGCAGGGGACTTGGGGGGGAGGGGATCCGGGGGGGGTCCCAGCGGATGTGGAGGGTACTGGGGTGTCCCAGAGGGGGTTGGGGGGTCCTGAGCGGTCCCGGGGGGACTGCCAGCTGAGTGTCCCCCCCCAGGCCTGGCAGCCCCCCACCCAATGTGCCGGCAGATCTGGGGACGATCCTGGGGCGCCTGGGACAGACTTTGAAGGACCAGCTGCCGGGTGGGGGGGGCTGGACCCCCACGGGGACCTCTCTGGGTCCACGACCCCCTGAAGAAGCCGACGTGGTGGTGGTGGGGGGCGGCGTGGTGGGCTGGTCAGTGGCGTACTGGCTGAAGGCGCTGGAGGCCCAGCGCCACGGCATGAGGGTGCTGGTGGTGGAGCGGGACCCCACGGTGAGTCGCCCCCCACCCCCTCCCGGGGTGGGCTGTGGCTTTGGGGACCCCTCCGAACCCCATTTTTTGGTGGTGGTGGGGGGGTGGGGTGTCTTCTTCTTCAGTATTCCCGAGCCTCCACGGTGCTGTCAGTGGGGGGGATCCGGCAGCAGTTTTCCCTCCCAGAAAATATCCGGATGTCCCGCTTTTCCGCCAGCTTCCTCCGCAATATCAACGTATGTGGGGTTATTTGGGGAGGGGGAGGTGTTTTTTGGGGGGGTGGAGTCCAGCCCCGCTTACGGGGGTGTCACTCCCTCACAGGAGCACCTTGGGGTGCCAAATGAGCCCCCCGTCGACATCCAGTTCCAGCCCTCGGGGTACCTCTTCCTCGCCACCCCGCAGGGCGCTGCTAGGCTGGAGGCCACCGTCCAGCTCCAGAGGTGGGACACACACACACAACCTCCCCTCTTCAGGAGGGGGTGTGGATTTTTGGGGGGGGGATCATCCTGACCCCCTCACTGCATCCTGGCTGTCCCCAGGGATGAAGGGGCGCAGGTAGCCCTGCTGTCCCCCACGCAGCTGAAGGCAAAATTCCCCTGGATAGACACGGAGGACGTGGCCGTGGCATCCTACGGTACGAGGAAGGGGGTGTCCAGCCCCTCCTAAAACTGGGCGTTTCTTTTTTTGGGGTGGGGGTCACCGTGTGGTGCCACACCACACGTGTTCTCCCCCCCCCCAAAGGTCTGGAGGATGAAGGCTGGTTCGACCCTTGGACTCTCCTCAACGCTTTCCGGCGCAAAGCCACATCCCTGGGTGTCCATAGCTGCACCGGGGAGGTGCGAGGTGAGGAGGGGCGGGGGGGGGATGTACAACAGCAGGGTACCCCCTCACACCCCTTGGACCCTCCCCCCCCACATCTCACACCACCCCCAACCCCCCCCCCAAAAAAAAACCTCCAGGTTTCGTCACCTCAGCTGATGACAAGATGCCACTGCAGGGACCAGCACTGGAGACCGCACGCATCAAATACGTCCACGTGAGTACATGTGTGTGTCCCGCCCGCCACGGGGGGGGGGGTCCCCACAAGTGTCCGTGACCCCCACACACACATTTCTTTCCCGCTCCCCCCCACCACCACCACCAGATTTACATGCCAAACAGCCTGGAGTACCAGCCGGTCACCTGCGCCATCGTGGTCAACGCCGCCGGCGCCTGGGCCGGGGAGCTACTGGAGGTGGCCGGGCTCCCGGGGGAGCTGTGTCACCCCCCCCTGCCCATCCAGCCCAGGAAGAGGTGGGGGGGGGGGGGAGTATATTTTTGGGGGGTTCACAATTGGGGGGGGGGGGGGGGCACATCATGGCATTGCCTTTCTGCTGTGGGTGAACCCTTCAGTGCTTTTTGAGGGGAAGTCACGGTGGGGGAGGGGGTGGCATATCCCAGCACTTCTATTTTTTCCAGGGGGGGTGAACCCCTTGCTGCTGTTTTGGGGGGAGGGATGTCATAAATGGGGGCATGCACCCCACCACTTCTCTGTCATGGGTGAAGCCCTTGGTGCTTTTTTTTGGGGGGGGGGGATGTGCATCCTGGTACCCACTGTCCCTCCATTTTCAAGGTAGGGGGAATGAATCACTTGGTGGGGTTTTTTGGGGAGGACGGGGACAGTGTCACAGTTGAGGGGGGCATCCTAACACCTACCACCCCTCCATCTTCAATGGGGGGCGATGAACCCCTTGATCCTGTTTTTTTGGGGGGGTCACATCCCAGTACCCACTCCAATCTGTCAGGGAGCAATATGAACCCCCTCAATGCTATTTTTTGGGGGACACACACACATCCCAGTACTTACCACCCCCTATCCTGGTGATGAGTGAGTGGGGGGGTGGGCAACCTGAACCCCTAAGCCCTGTTTTTTGGGGGGTACCCCCCCATCCCTATAGGTACGTGTACTCCTGGCACTGCCCTGACGGCCCCGGCTTCTCCTGCCCTCTCCTCGTCGACACCACCGGAGTTTATTTTCGCCGTGACGGCATCGCCGGCAACTACTTGGGTGGCATGAGCCCACCCAAGGTGAGCCCAGGGGGGGTCCCTTATGTTATTTTCCCCCCTTATTATTTTTTTTAATCCGCCTTCAATTTATTTTTTTTTTTTTTTCCAGGAGGAAGAGCCAGATCCGAGCGATCTCTCAGTGGATCATGATTTTTTCCAGGAGCAGGTCTGGCCCCGGCTGGCTCGGCGGGTACCAGCCTTTGCCTCCCTCCGTCCCCGGGGGGCTTGGGCGGGCTACTACGACCATAACAGCTTTGATTGTAACGGGGTGCTGGGTCCTCACCCCAAATTAGAAAACCTGTTTTTAGCCGCCGGTTTTAGCGGCCACGGGTTACAACACGCGCCCGCCGCCGGCAGAGCCGTGGCCGAGCTGGTGGTGAAGGGCCGGTACGAGAGCCTGGACCTGCGGCGGTTGGGGTGCAGCAGGTTGGTGGAGGGGGAACCCCTGGAAGAGGATGGGGTGGTGTGATGGGGGAAACTGAGGCACGGTGGTGGGGACTCCCCCTCCCCGGGCTGGAGGTTGCTGGGGGGGATTTGGCGGCGCGTCCTGCATAAATAAACGGGATGGAGGATGAGTGTGCTGGGGATTCAATGGGGAGGGCGGGGAGGGGAGGTTGGTGACACCCCCACCACAACCCCCCCGGGGCTGCCCCCCAACTTGTGCCGTTACCCCCAGCTCTATCCTGGTATGCCCTGTCCACCCTCCCCCCACCAGTGCCTCCAGTATCCCCCCCAGTGCCCCCAATACCCACCCCCCAGTCCCACTGTCCCCATTATGTTCCCATACCCCCACCCCCATTGTCCCCATTATCCCCCCAGGGTCCCCTATTGCCCCCCCCCCCAGTGCCCCCATTATGTTCCAGTGCCCCCCATCCTAGTATCCCCATTATGTTCCCATACTCCCAGTCCCACTGTCCCAGTATCCCCCCATGGTCCCCACTACCCCCCATTCCCACCCGCCCCAGTATCCCCATTATGTTCCCATACCTCTAGTCACGCCGTCCCCATTATCCCCCCAGGGTCCCCTGTTTCCCTCCCCAGTGCCCCCCGAACCCCAGTATCCTCCCAGTGCCCCCATTATGTTCCAGTGCCCCCCTATTTCCCCCCACCCCAGTATCCCCATTATGTTCCCATACCCCCAGTCCCACTGTCGCCATTATCCCCCCAGGGTCCTCTGTTGCCCCCCCCCAGCATCCCCACTACCCCCCATTCCCCCCCCCCAGTGTCCCTGTTATGTTCCAGTGCTCCCATTATCCCTCCAGTGCCCCCCGCCCCAATTTCCCCTTTATGTTCCCATACCCCCAGTCGCACTTTATCCCCCCCAGGGTCCCCACTACCCCCCCATTCCCCCCGCCCCAGTATCCCCATTATATTCCCGTACCCCCAATCCCACTGTCCCTATTATCCCAAGGTCCCCTACTGCCCCCCCCCAGTGTCCCCAATTACCCCCACACCCCCCCCCCCGTTTGGCGCCCCCTGGCGGCCCGGCGCTGCCCTGCCGGCGAGCAGCAGCTCTGCGCCTGCGCAGCGTCGGGCGGGGTGGAGCGGGCGGCAGCGCATGCGCAGAGCCGGCGGCGGCGTGGGGGGGGGGGGGGGCGCGGGGGGTGGTGTCGGCGCATGCGCGGTGCGGGGCGGCCGGGCCGCCTCTGCCGTGCCCGTGAGCCCTCGGCCTGCAGCCATCGGTGAGTGAGCGTGGGGTGCAGCGGGGACAGCCCTGCGGTTACCCGTGGGGCCGGCGGGGAACCCCGGAGGTTACTCTGAACCCTTCGGGGGAGATCGCTGGGGCCGCCCCCGGGAACCGTGGGGGTTAGTCCTGAGGTAACTGTGGGCCCCGGGAGATCCCTGAGGTAATTCGGGGTCTGCGGGGAGACCCTGAGGTGATTTTGGCACGTGGGGGTAGCGCTGAGGTAACTGTGGGCCCCAGGGGATCCCTGAGGTAACTTGGGGTCCGTGGGGAGACCTTGAGCTGATTTTGGTCCCTGGGGGTAGCGCTGAGGTAATTGTGGGCCTCGGGGGGAGCGTGATGCAGCCCTGAGGTAACTATAACCCCCCCCCCACACACACACACACTTCGTGGGGAAGACTGTGGGAACAGCCCTGAGGTAAAATAGTGCTCCCTCCATGTAAACTATAGGGGTCACCCCCTGTAACCACGGGGGGCAGCTCTGTGGTAAGTTTGCCCCCCCCCCCCCCCCCTCAGGTAACGGAGCGGGGGGGGGGGGGTCACCTCCCATTGGGAGAATTGTACCCTGCCCCCAGCGTAACGGTGGTACAGGTCTGGGCTCCCCATCCTGGGTCCTTCTGGGATGCTGTGAGGATCCCCCCATTGCACAGTGACCCCCCCCCCCCAACCCTGGGGTGCCTCCGGCTCGCCTAGGAATACCTCTGGGTGAAAATAAATCAAGCAGGATTTTCTGCAGAAGCCAGCATCATGCAGCAGATGGATCTCACTGTGTTTAACACGCCAGTTCCCGAGCCCAAAGGGTGGTGAGGCGCAGCTGCCCAGAACAAAGAAAACGCTTGTTTCTGCCTTTTGTTTCTGCCGTGGCTCTGCCAGCGCGACCCGGACCTTGGACACCTAAAGGCGCCATGCGTGAGGCTGCGCACATCTACCTCTGACATCTACCTCTGAAGACTTGATTTTAGGGTGAAGGTGCTTAACTTGTGATTAACTCGATCTTCATAAAGCTGGAGGCCAGTTCTGCATCCACAGTTTCATCTGAACCGGCGTTTGCCGCTTCCCAGGAGCGCAGTTCAAACCCTAGCAGGTTTTGTCTCAGAATAACCAAAATGAAAACTTTTTTGTTTTTTTTTTTAAATAAATTATTTTTAATTGTTTGTATCCCGCGCTGCGCATTATAGAGCAACAGCAACACTGACACGTTGGGGCTGCCTAGGAGAAGCCAGCGATTTGAATCCTGGTGGAAAAGCTCTGCAAGTTTTATTAGCTGGTGATTTTTTTTTTTTTTTTTTCTTAATTCAGACTGTCTGTATTTCTGTGACGCTTTACAAGAAGCAGAAGACTCAGCACAACATTTTTGGCAGAGGCCTGTTTGGATTAATTACTGCTTTGGGCAAAAGCTTATGGGGTAGGTCAACAGCAGCTGTTTTGTCAGGCTCCTAATTGTAGCCCTGTTGTTTCTTACCTGGCACACGAGGAAGAGAAGGCACGGAGCTGTGAAGTATTAAATCAGCATGGGATTTAGCAAAGATGTTTTCACACCTTTCTGGGCTGGCTCTGCAGGCTTTTCTCTTCCGAAAATGAGCGGCACAGCATGTTGTTCAGAGAGATGTTCTGCTGTGTAGAAATACAGGCTCTGCTGTTCCTGAAACCCCAAGTTTGTTATATGAGACACCGTGGAATTAACAGGATGAGTCCTTCCTCTGGCCGTACGTTTGAGGCTGTTTGCCTGATGGGAAGCCAGTGAGGGCAGGGAATCCTGTTGAAAATCTTTGGGTTGTGATTTAACTTGTAATTACCCAGCTCAGAGAGATGCTGTTAATGCCTGCCGTGGTTCTGTGTTTTCCCTCTCCGCAGGCTCCATCTGTTTCCCATCTCTCCAGGATGAGAGAGGTTTGGGTTCGGTTTTTCCCCTCTCCCTGTAGTTGATAGTTTCGGAACCAGAGGTGATGCTGGAGTCGAGATGGCAGACAGTGTGAAAACCTTCCTTCATGACCTCGTCAGGGTAAGTCTCTGCATTTCAGGCCCTCTGTTGTAGGGACTGGTCTCGTTTACTTCAGTGACAGTTTGTCTTGCATGGGGAGCATCCTCCTTCCTTACATCATCAAGGGTGGATTAAAAAATTTCAAGGAAAAGGGGCTCTGTGTGTATATTAATCAAAAGTGTCAATTTTGTAAAGCAGAGATACCAGTAGGCAAGCTTTCCGCTCACCAGTGACAGTTAGATTTGACGTGGCTGTGTGAAATGCATTGGTCCCCAAGTGTTCTCTAGAATAATTTCCTCCCAAACTGGCCGTTGTGCAGTGTATCTGCACAGGGCTCAGTGTTCGTCCAGGGCATTGTTGAACCTGTGATAAATTTCCTTGGGGCAAAAGTTAATTTATAGCCTACGTGAACATCGCAGTTGTGTTGTGGTGTTAAAGCTTTGTGTGAACTCAGTGCTCCCATGCTGTTTTGTATCATCCAGGTGTAAATACAGGCTTAAAAACATTCGGGACATGACACTAAGAAGTAACTCATGTTCAGAAATAGCTTGTTTTGAGAAACTTGCTGGGTTTGATCTTAAAGATCTGTGGCACACTGGCCATGATCTGAAGGGGGAGGACTTGTGTTGCTTCATGTAGCTCTCGTGCCATCTGTAAAGCAGTGGGTAGAGCAGCCCATTTAATTAATTTCCACCTAATCAGGTACCAGTGGCAGCACGCTGTGCTGTTTCAGACACACATTTGGCATCAAAATTTACCCTGTTTGGTCAAAAACTCCATACACCGAATTGTTGTGTGGGTCACCTGTGTTGTGAAGCTGTCCTGGCTCATACTAGCATCCTTGTGGTCTTTATGTTGAAGTGAAATTTTGATAATGATGGTTATGATATCATCTGGAGCTGGAAATAACTGCTTGTGGAGTATTAGGAGGTGGCACTAGAAATCTTTTAAACGAGGAGTAGGGCAAAAACTTCCAGGTGCCTCCCTATTCATGGGTTTGCACGGATGTTGATGATGCGATGATGTTTCTGGGACAAGGACGGATGCTTTTGTTTGGAAAGGAGTAAGCATTCAACGTCATGCATCCAGTCAGGCCACAAGGACTTTGCACATCCTAAATACTTTGTATAGTTTATTGGCCTTAGAAATGCTGGCAGGGGATGAAGGGCTTTGTGCCAGACAGAAGTGGCCTGAGGGAGATCTGACTCTGGCTTTGCCAGGGTTATAAATAGTAGAGACTGGACAAGAAACCACGCCTTTTTAAAAAAAAATACAATATTGCTGCTTCTAAAGATGCTGGGAGGTGCAGTAGGTTACCAGGACATGGAAAATAGGTGGTGGTGCTCCAAACCTTGGCTCCGGCGGAGCCTGGTGCTGTCTTCCCCTGCTAGCTGGGGAGCGAGGCTGGCCCCCTTCGAGTCCCCTTCCGTAACCAGGGGGCCTGGCTCGGCCCCATCCCAACCCTCCTCCTCCTCCCTCTGCGGGGTGGAGTGCGACGGCCTCTCCTTGTGTCCGCAGGGAATAAAGGACTCCATCTGGGGCATCTGCACCATCTCAAAGCTGGACGCCCGGATCCAGCAGAAGAGGGAAGAGCAGAGGCGAAGGAGAGCAAACAGCGCGCTTGCCCAGCGGAGGTTTCACATGGAAGAGAAGAAGCAAGAGAAGTAAGTATGGGGCCTGATGAGTCATAAATCAGATAATTCGCTTCTCTCCCTTTAGTCTGTTGAAGGCAGGGAGACCGAGAGAGAGAGAGGAACGCTGCCCGGAGCTTTGAAGAGCCCAATGAACTGCAGAACCTCTCCAAGTCATAGTGATTTGGCAGTGCTTGTGCTTTTTTTTCCCCCCTCCTAAATATCTGTTGTATCACAGTAGTCTGGCTAAAAGAGAGTTGGGGTAAGCGGGATTTAAGAAATAAAGCCATTATTGTTGCCTGCACTTGTGAAGAGATCTCCATAAAAACAGCAGTCGGAACCATCAGGGACCTGCAACCCAGGTGTCTGCGACAGCAGAACTTGTGCTGCACGTTTGCAAATGATCCGTAAACCCAATTGCACTGAAGCTCAGAGCCAATAAATATAAAAAACGTGACATGAAACACCCTTTTCCCACTCTGTAATGAAACTAGAACTGTAACCATGAGATCAGAAGTCAGACCTTTTTTTATGCTGTTTGACAAGAGTATGCAATTAATTTGAAATAATAATAGGAGGCATGGAGCTATACAAAGCTGAAAGAATGTGGACTTCTAGGTTTCTTTTCTTCCTGAATACTCATGCTGTCTCTCAAAAGATACGTCGTTGTTGTTGGTAGCCATGGGATCAGGGAAGAAGCGGCAGCCCAGATCTGATTTATATTTCTGGGGCAGATCAAGTATCTTTTTTTTTCCCCAGCCTTGCTGTGTTCCGCAGCCATCTATAGCGGTTGCATCCACCGAGGCTGGGGATGCCAGAATTACATCCACGTGGGAGCAAAACAGCATCTGTTCTTGTGTCTGACTCCCAAACGGCACCGAGATGTTTTTCCGCTGCCCTAATTACAGTCGGGCTGGCACTAAACATGGTGACGTTTGGTCAGTAATACAACTTTTAAGATATATTTACAAATTCTTCTGACTAGCTGGGTGGTAGTCTGACTTTATCTCAAGATGACAGAAGAGTCTCCCACAAATGATTTCCATCCTCCCCAGAGATTCCTGCAGCTTTGCAAATTCCCTTGAGGAATAATATATATTTTGGGGGGAATAAACAGTTGTATTTTGCTGGTTTTCTTTGTAGCAAAGACCCTTTGGTAGCAGAAGCTGACTGGAAAAGTGCTGCAGAGTCCCACAGAGCTGTTCTCTTGCATGTCCATAGATATGCCACAAAGAGAGAGAAGCCAAAACAGCCTCTTCCAAAAACAAAAAGCACCCAAAAATCCCTAATTTTATTATGGCAGGAGTTTGAGGTGAACAAAGCCTAAGATCACTAATAAATCCTTCAAATTCTGGAAGAAAACTTTCTTTTGCTTCCATTTCAGTGCAGATATGGGGAATTAATAAAGGTTGAAAGCCTCCCTGATGTAAATCTTCCAGAGGCGGTGCACTGGCTGAAACCTGGCACGAGTTTGTGCAGGGATTTCTTCCAGGATTCCCATGTTCAGATAAAATCAGGTGCATCACTGGCATTGTGCTGGTTATCTGCAACATTTCTAAGGTGTCCAAAATGTGGGACAGAAGCAGTTGTCAGGGGATGTTTGTCCAGACACTGGGACCTTAAGCACGTCTCACCCATCTCCCTCCTCCTGCTCTGCAGTGAACCCCGGATAGTGAGCCGGATATTTCAGTGTTGTGCCTGGAACGGAGGTGTATTCTGGGTGAGTGGATATTTTTTGTTATTTCCTATGTTAAAAACACCGTGAAAACCAGTGCCCTGCTCCAGCCCTTGTACGCTGGCAGCGTGGCTGCAGGAATTTACAGGAACCGCTAAGTTCCCAGTCCCGATTCTTTATGTTAAGGGACACAATATGGGACCACAAACTGGCTTGAGAAACCTGTGCATTAAACCTGAGCTGCTTTTCCAAGTCTTTGAGACATCTCTTCCCCCAAATATCCAACTCCTGCTCCACTGCAGTCTAGGATATTGCTTTGCTGAATTGGATATCGATACGTTAAAGACATTTCCTCAGCTCTGACTTTACCATGGCTGTTCCATGAGACTAATCGTTAATGGAGCAGACACTTTGCAGCCTAATAATCACTGGGCTTCCTTTTTCCATTAGACCGTGGCCAGGTAGGAGGAATCAGCGGGGAAATGTTGAAAAGAAAGCGCTCAATTGGAGATTTTGGCTGTATTTTAACAGAAATCCTTGGTCCTGTGTAGTTATAGATTGCTGCGTGGAGGAGGAGGGTCTGCCTTCAGATCAGTAGTTACAGGAGCACAAAAAATGACCGTGCAACGCCTCACCGAGAACCCTTGTTGTTTCTTTTTCCCTGTAGCTTAGTCTCTTCTTGTTTTACCGAGTATTTATACCTGTCCTTCAGTCAGTCACGGCACAGATCATCAGTGAGTACCTTTGCTGTTTGTGTGTTACGGGGCGCTAAGCAATCCATGGGATAGATGGGGGGGGGGGGGGGGGGGTCCTGGCACCCGCCACGAACTGCCAAGGCTTTGTCCCGTTGAGCTGTTCCTCACCCCTCTGTTTGCTTGCCTTATTTTTCTCTTCCTCCCTGTTCTAATCCAGGCTGTCCTCAATAGTTTAGCAGGAAAAGAGAGAGATGGATAACCCTGCTAACAGCCTGTGTGTGGCGGGGATCTAGCCCGTGGGTTTTAGCACCCCTAACACGCACTTGTCGGAATATTTTTGCAAGTAAATAAAAAGCAAGTGGGTGGAAACGCTCTTATAAAGAGCAAAGGTTGAGGTTGGAGATTCCTCCTGTCCTCGAGCGCTACAGCTGGGAGAAGTTCCCCATGGCGCAGAGGTGGCCTTGCTGGGAAACGTTTGTGATGTGAAACAAGTAGGTTCCTCATGTGTTTCTCCCTGTCCCTCTTTTGAAGGTGACCCTTCCTTACACGGTGACGTCTGGTCTTGGCTGGAGTTCATCCTCACCTCCATTTTCAGCGCCCTCTGGGTCCTTCCCCTCTTTGTGCTCAGTAAGGTTGTCAATGCCATCTGGTTTCAGGTAGGTGACAGGACCCAGGACAGTGCATCAAGCAAACGAGGTGGGGAATTTCCTCATAAAGGCTCATTTGGTGGTACGGGGGGTGGGTGAAATCCCATCCCAAAAATGGGCTCTGGGAGGGCGAAAGGAGCATCATCCCAGCTGGTTTTGGATTTCATCCCCCCTGAAGCCCCCGTTTCTCTTTTGAATTTTATTTCCTTCAAGCCCCTTTTTGTTTTTTTTTCCAGGACATTGCAGATCTTGCGTTTGAAGTTTCGGGCAGAAAGCCTCACCCCTTTCCCAGCGTCAGTAAAATCATTGCCGACATGTTGTTTAACCTCTTGTTGCAGGCGCTGTTCCTCATCCAGGTGAGCTGAGAGTCACACGCCAAAAAAATAACCGTCAGCCACCCCACATCTTACTCCCGGGCGACGCTCTCCCGCCTGCTCATTTCTTTTTTTATCCCCAGGGGATGATAGTGAGCCTCTTCCCCATCGATATCATCGGGCAGCTGATCAGCCTCCTCCACATGTCGCTGCTCTATTCGCTCTACTGCTTCGAGTACCGCTGGTTTAACAAAGGTGAGCGCTGCCTCCCCTCGCCGCGCTGGAAATATTTCCACATTGAGGCTGGCAGACCAGAAATATTTCCGGATTGAGGGTTTCTCGACTCGAGGAATATCCAGTTGGGGCATCTTGAGGCGGATTTTCTTCCGGTTTGACACGGGTTGAGGTGTAACAAAGGTGTCTCTTCCCCATGGGTTCATTTCTGCGGGGTTTTTTTTTCTCGCCAGGAATTGAAATGCACCAGCGGTTATCCAACATTGAGAGAAACTGGCCCTATTACTTCGGCTTTGGCTTACCACTGGCTTTTCTCACCGCGATGCAATCCTCTTACATCATCAGGTGAGTCTCTGGGAGGGCAGGCAGCCATTTTAGGGTCTGCATCTACCCAAGGACACGCCACCAAATCCACCTTTTATTTTATTTTATTTTATTTTTTTCCCAGCGGTTGCCTCTTTTCCATCCTTTTCCCCCTCTTCATCATCAGCGCCAACGAAGCGAGGACCCCTGGCAAAACCTAGTGAGTATCCTCCACCACCCTTCTAAGCCCGTTCAACTTCCTTTTTTTGGCTGCTCCTCCCGCAAAAATCCCACTCGGGGGGTCGTTTTCGGCCACGGGAGCTCACAGGCTCTCTTCCCTTCCAGCCACTTCCAGCTCCGGCTCTTCTCCTTGGTGGTTTTCCTCAGCAACAGACTCTTTCACAAGACGGTTTACCTTCAGTCTGCCCTCAGCGGTGCTTCCTCCTCCTCCTCTTCCTCCGACCGCCTCCTCTCCCCCCAGCCCTCTCCCGCCAAACACGCCGCTGCACAGGGGCACTGAGAGCCACCCAACCCCAGCGGCTCCCCCTGCCGCCATGGAAATTTTGGGGACGACAGAAAAAAAAAAAAAAAAAAAAAGAAAAAGAAAAAAGGCGGATTTTTAACACCTTTGTGAGTTTCCAAAAGCTGGCCGGCGCCTGTTTTATAGCAGACTCTTTTGTACGCTGTTCCCGTGCCATTTTGGGGAGCTCCCACACCCCCCCCCCCCCGTGCATGCACCGTTTCTGTCGGGTAGGGGGAGGGAACCGGTGACGTACAAAAACCCTTTGATTTTTTGGGGGTGGTTTTTGGGGTGGGGGCCGTTTATCGACTTTTCTCGAGTATTTTCACACTGAAACATTAAACGGAGAAATCACGATTCGCAGCCGTCCCGCGCGTGCCCCTGTCGTTAACCCGGGGGCGCTTTGGGGGGGGGGGGGGGGTTGTCCCGGTCGGGACCCGCCGCGGCTTCTCCCTGGGCGCCGCCCACGTGGCGCCACCCACGTGGCGGGGATGGCCCACTTCCGCATCCGCCCACGTGACCCGGCCCAAGCGCGGCGGGACACGTCACGGCTCGTTCCCCGCCCTCCGCTCCGCCAATGGGGAGGTGCCGCGCCTAGCCCGCCCCCGCCTGAGTGGCCGCCGCCGCGGCCAATGAGAGCTGCCGTACCTGGAGTGGCGTCGGTGAGGGCAAATGGTGGGTCGGGCGGGGGCGGGCCGCCACGGCGGCTGCGCGGGGCGGATGGCCGGGGCGGAGGGGCCGAGCGCGGCGCCCGGGTGAGGGCCGCGGCCCCGGGGGGGCTTTGGGGTGCGCGGTCGTGTGGGGTGAGGGAGCTGTGGGGTTGTGGGGTGCCCGGGTCTGTGGGATGAGGCAGCTGTGGTGTTGTGGGGTGCCCGGGTCTGTAAGTGAGGCGGTTGTGGGGTGCCCGGGTCTGTGGGATGAGGCAGCTGTGGTGTTGTGGGGTGCCCGGGTCTGTGGGATCGCGGGGTTTGGGGTGCCCAGGCGCGTGCGGTGGGGCACTGCTGGTTGTCGGGGAGGGGAGCCTTTAGGATGTAGTGCTGTGGGGTTCCTGGAGGTGCAGAGTGCTGGGGTGAGGTGCGGGGCTGTGGGGTGCAGCACAGGGGGATTGGGGGCTTGCAGGGGCTGGGGGCCCATAGCCCAGCCACAGCTTTTCCTCCTTCCCACCCCAGGATCTGGGGACTGGCCAGCCCCCCCAGTAGCTGTGCCGTTACTGGGTGGCGAAGGCTTCCCCCAGCACCCTGAGAGGCGTCTGCCAGAGCTGTGGAGCTCGGGGTACCTCTGGGGGCACAGCCACGCGTGCCCGGGAGGCATCCGTGTTCTGTCATTAGCTCTTTATTATCCCCCGGGAAACCGGGAAATAATTACAACACGGTGTTATTTCTCTATCAATTAGTGATGGATGTGTGCAAGTTGGAATCACTTTTAGGTCACAGAAAGACTTTTTTTTTTCAGGCCTGGTTTGTATTTTTAAATCTCAGCCTGTCCAAATCTCCCTGGTGTTGTAGTTCAGAGATGTGAACTGAGGATTTATCCACCAGTTCAGGGACTCAACCTGCAGGGAGTGGTGGGAGGTTTTTTCCCAGATTGATTGGGTAAAGAAGTGTTTTAAAGAAATTAGAATGTGTTTTAGGTTATTTTCCGGCCACAGTTTCACTGCCTTGGTCTCCAATACCAGGATTTTGCTGGCTCTTTCTCCACCCAGGGAGGTTGAATTAAGCAGCCAGGTTGTCCAGTGTAAGCAAAGCTCATTTACTCTGCTGGTCTGCACTAGCAAACTACCGGGATGAGTGTGTTTAACATAAATAATTCAAAGTGGGAGCATCCAGGAGATGTTTAGACCTCTCATGTAAGAAAACAGCACCAATTTCTTGTGTTTTCCAAGGACTATTTTTTTGCGTGTTGTTTACAGGTGGTGGTTAAACTCCAGGGACCAGCCAGGGAAAATTTAGTGGTTTTGCTAAAAGCTGACACTTGGGTTTTGTTTTGTACGCAGAGAAACAGACGTGTCCTCTGCCCCAAAGAAGTTCTGGTCTCTGTAAAAGAAAGAAAAAACCTCAACGGTGTCTTGGGGCAACTGATCAGGTGAGGGTGGGAGGCAGGGATCAGTGAAAGCACCTGGCAGGGGTGAAGGGTGGGCACCAGCCTCCTTGGGCAGGAGTTGGGTATTTAAGGTCCTGTTCTGTGAAACATTTAGAAACCTTGTGGGGCTTCTGAGCTCGCCCTTTGACCATCTTTCTTCGCTCTTTGACCATCTTTCTTCGTCTTTCAGGTGTTCAAGCGTCCTTAATCTCTGCCTTTGATGTGAAAATGACTAAGTTAGGGTTTCTCCGGCTCTCCTACGAGAAGCAAGACACTCTGCTCAAGCTCCTCATCTTGTCGATGGCAGCTGTGCTGTGTAAGTTTGCATCCTGCCACGCCGGCCTTGCTGATGGCTGCTGGTACCCCCAAGGGGGGACCCCGGGGTGGAGCCGCCTCTGCTCCTTCTCTTCTGGAGGTTGTGGAGCTCTCATCTGTCTTTAAAGCATGTCTTCAGTCAGCACCCTTATTCCTTCTGTACTTTGTCCTTTAAAAACAACGTCTTTATCTTCCCAATGATCAGTTTAAAACAGAAACAATTTTAATCCGGCAAAGGAGGAGATAAACCAAATGTAACTCTGGCTCAGGAAGTGCTGTAGATTCACTCTGCCCTTTTTCTGTCTTTGCAGCTTTCTCCACGAGGCTTTTTTCTGTCTTAAGATTTGAAAGTGTCATCCATGAATTTGACCCGTAAGTGTCGTCTTCTCGTTTCGTGGGGGCCTGCTGGGTTTTTCTCTTCTGGAGCGTGTGGAATTGTGGTGTATGCCAGGCTCAAGTTAATCCCCACTGAGGATGAGGGATTTGGGGAGAGGTGTTCAGCACAGTTAGGTTTTCCACTTCCAGTCCCCAAATTCACTTCTCAGTACCCAGAACTCTCTGCAGCCCGGGTCTAAGTAATCACCTGCCACCGCTTTTCTGCAGGGATGTGGTTATTCCCTGCCTGAGCAGGGCACAGCAGGGGAGGGGCCTCCTAGTACAACTTGTGTCCACAACCCAGGCTTGTTGCCGATTAAATCAGGTTTGAGGGAGCAAGTTACCTTTGCAAACCCACTTTTAAACCCCCCAGGAGGAAGGATGAACCTCTGCAGCTGAGGTTTGTGGCAGTCTAGGGAAATTGGACCCGTTGCCTCCGCGTGAAAAACGCCAAGTCAGCCCTTACGACGCTGTCATACCCCCAGACATCAGATACGGGTATCCGAACAGGCACGCAATTTAACTGCCTGTCAGAAGCTGCCTCGTTTCCTGAGCGCTTGTGAGGGGCTGTGGTTGTGACCCGAGGAGTGGTGAGCAGTCCACGTCTCCGTCCAGGTGCCGGGATGTTTAGTGCTTGTCGCTGTTACAGGTATTTTAACTACCGCACAACCCGCTTTCTGGCGGAGGAGGGCTTCTATAAATTCCACAACTGGTTTGACGACCGAGCGTGGTACCCCTTGGGCAGGATTATCGGTGGGACCATTTATCCAGGTGAGCTGTCGGCTTCTGCTGAGCCAAAACCGGCCTCGTGCAAGGGAAAATTGGGAAAGGGGTGTGGGTAGGTACCTGGACTGCCAGCTGGGGGAGCAGGGGAGGTCAAGAGTTGCCCTTCATCGAGGCACCCTGGGCAGCAGGTGAGGCTTTCCTGCTGTTAATTACAAGCTAACGACCCCCTGGCGCCGTGAGCAGACCGCAAGCACCCCAATAACAGCATCTTTTTCTCCGTCCCGCAGGCCTGATGATCACGTCGGCAGCAATTTACCACGTGCTGCACTTCTTCCACATCACCATCGACATCCGAAACGTCTGTGTGTTCCTGGCTCCCCTCTTCTCCTCTTTCACCACCATAGTGACTTACCACCTCACCAAAGAGCTCAAGGTGAGGGGGCGATCGGGACAGACCTGGCAGGTTTTTGCTTTATGAGGAGGACGGGCTGTGTGCCTTTTGGAAAGGCAGCTCGCAGCCATAGCGGAGGTTTGGAGGTGACTGCCACGCTGGTCAAAACCCAGAACTTCAGGGAAATGGGAGCTCTGTTTTCAAATTTAATTTCAACACTCAGTTTTTATTCCTTTGAGGCATATCCATGCGTAGTATGGCACGAGAACAAAAGCCCTACAAACCGATGGCTTTTTTCACCCTCTGGCTGCGTGTGGTTTTTTCTCCCAGGACGCAGGGGCAGGACTCCTCGCTGCTGCCATGATTGCAGTTGTGCCTGGGTACATCTCTCGGTCTGTCGCCGGCTCCTACGATAACGAAGGTGAGTTTGCAACACTCGGAGCAGGGAAAGCTTTAACGACCGTTGGGTGCTGGATAACGATGGCAAAGATGACGCTTTTGTCCTTCTACCCAGGTATCGCCATATTCTGCATGCTGCTAACTTACTACATGTGGATCAAAGCTGTCAAAACTGGCTCCATCTATTGGGCAGCAATGTGTGCTCTTGCCTATTTCTACATGGTACGTGTTCCTTCTCCTGGCACCGAGGTTTTTTCTGACTCTGCTCTGGGTACAGCGACCAAAAATCCATGGCGTGCCGTTCCTGCATCCTTGTTTTCAGGGAGCTTGAACCTCTGCAAAGGGCTCGGTGTGAAAATGGAACGGATGCTTTCTTCATTCACTTCCCCGTACCAAAACTAGCGGGTTTTTGCGTGTGGTTTTATTAATAGCCTTGAAAAATCTGGGCTTCTGGCAGCTGTGACTGTTGAGGATGCTCTGAGGGAGATCAGATCTCAGCTGGCATTGCCGCTGGGTGAAAACCCTGCGCGTGATGCCAGGAAAATCAAACCTACCACGTTTGACCTCTGCTCTGCAACCTGTTCAGTCCTGGAACTTGTGGGGTTTTTTTGTTTTCTCTCTTGGCAGGTCTCCTCGTGGGGTGGCTACGTCTTTCTGATTAACCTCATCCCCTTGCATGTTCTTGTGCTGATGCTGACCGGCCGCTTCTCCCACAGGATCTATGTAGCCTATTGCACAGTCTACTGCTTGGGAACCATCCTCTCGATGCAGATCTCCTTTGTCGGCTTCCAGGTGGGGACCAGAATGATTTGCAGACTCGAGGACGGTCATTTTGTGGGTTGTGACAGAACAACAGCGAGTTGGCACCTGGCTTCTCTCCTTGACTTTGCTGTTGACATGTTAAGTTCTAGCTCCTGTTACGCTGATTCGTTGCGACCTTTGGCAAGATTAGTTTTGGAGGTACTGGATGACTTTCAAAGCCGCTAATAACCTTCATGGCACTGGTTGCTTTTCATGAAAATATTTATGGTTTTGGTGAAGGAAACACTTGCGCCAGCATGCGTCTTGGTATAGCGGGAAAAATGCCCGCTTAGCTCACTTTTTCAAGAGAATTGGTTTAATTTTCTGTGTGGATTCCTATCTGGGAATCGAAGCTGATGTAAGCAAGTGACTCGGGGCAGCTGTGCCATCCGCAGGGAGGGGACTGTTTGTGTTTGCCGTGACTTTCAGCAGCGATTTTGCCGAGAAGTGATTTGTTAAAAAAAAAAAAAAAAAAAAAAAAAAAAAGATATCGGGCACAGCACTGCTCTTGTTCTCCATCTCTGATCACGCTTTCCCCCTGCTTGCAGCCTGTCCTCTCCTCAGAGCACATGGCTGCCCTTGGAGTCTTCGGTTTGTGTCAGATCCACGCCTTCGTAGACTACCTTCGGAGCAAGCTGAACCCGCAGCAATTCGAAATCCTCTTCAGGAGTGTCATTTCCCTGGTTGGCTTTGTCCTCCTCACCATTGGGGCCGTGCTGATGCTGACAGGTAGCCCGAGATGGAGCCGGTTTTCCCTCCTCTCATGGCTTTGAAGAGCACAGAATTTGTCAGTCTGAATTCTGCATTATTGCCCACGCTGCGGTTTCGGTGCCTGCGAGCCCCTCTCCAAGGGGGAGGCTGGGACCTGTTAGCAGGGAAATATTTCAGAGGCAGCTGTGTAAGATCTGGGCTCCGGCTGATGCAAGGCACAGAGAGAATCCTGCCATGACTCAGCGTGCGCTGGGGACGCTGAGCTGATGCTTCAGAAACTGAGTGTCGATCTGTAGTAGCGAAGGGATGCTAAAAATAAGGTGGGTGGGGGGAGAGAAGTCTCTAGGGTAATATTGCAGTGTATTTCCTTTCTAAACTGGTAGGTTTGAGTAATAGAGATGTTAAACGAGGTCCAGGATTGCTCATTCAGCCTTGTACGTGCTTCCTGGGTGAGAGAATGTATTGGCATTGCTGGTTATTCTCTGCTGGTGTGGAATATGATTTTTTTTTTTTTTTTTTTTTCTAGGGAAAATCTCCCCATGGACAGGGCGTTTCTACTCCCTGCTGGATCCTTCCTATGCAAAGAACAACATCCCCATCATCGCCTCCGTCTCTGAGCACCAGCCCACCACTTGGTCCTCCTATTACTTTGACCTGCAGCTTCTCGTTTTCATGTTCCCAGGTGAGCCCAGCACAGCTGGCGCCAGACCCTGATTTATTAAATGCTAAGGTGAACCTGACCTGTTTTCTCTTTCCTCTCCGCAGTCGGTCTGTATTACTGCTTCAGTAACCTCTCGGACGCCCGCATTTTTATCATCATGTACGGCGTGACCAGCATGTACTTCTCTGCTGTGATGGTGAGGACATGCTCCACAGGCACGATGACAAAACGGTCTTAGTGAAGCTGATTTAATTTATTCTCCTGAACTTGATGATGGTTATTCCACCCTGAGCCAGCTAAAGCTCACGAGGCTTTTCTCCGTTTCCTTAAAACTGGTTTTATTCACCCCTCAGTGCAGCGAGGGAACGTGACGTTGCAAAACTTACTGGTTTTGTGTTATTTGCTTCCTTACGGCCACCGCCGTCAGCCACTGGGTCTCTGTTCCTGGTCTCCCATAGCCGAGTTGCAAACCCAAACCGATTCTCCAGTATCTGAGTGAGGACCGACGACAGATGGCTGCTTATGAGCCGGTTTCCACTCTTGCTCTAGCACCCTGAGCCCTAAATACGGGTTGATTTCTGGTGTGGAAGCATCTGCTGATTGTTGGCTCCACCTCTGGTTGCCCAAGGGTGTTAAACTGAGGTCGTTTCTGCACATTGGCCAATTTTGAGATCTTCAGAGAACTTCCCTCTGGGGCATCTGAGAGGGTGGCAGCTCCCAGTCCGTACCCACTAAAAAAAATCAGCTACGGGTTTATCTCGAGGCTGATGCTTCTGGGGAATTTGAGGTGCTGAATTAGGGATGGCATTTAATTGCCCTCATCTTTTGGATTTCTGCCCGGATTTCTTCTCCAACAGGCACCGACAGTTCTGCTCTTGCCTGTAGGTGCGTCTTATGCTGGTGCTGGCCCCGGTGATGTGTATCCTCTCAGGCATCGGGGTTTCTCAGGTGTTGTCCACCTACATGAAGAACCTGGATATCAGCCGGCCGGACAAGAAGAGCAAAAAGCAGCAAGACTCCACCTACCCTATCAAAAACGAAGTGAGTGTTGGGCTGGCTTGGGACGGGGGAAAGACCTGGTGGGACCAAGTGCGGGAGGCTGATGGCCTCATCCCTCCAGCGTTGACCCGATTTGTTCCCCCCAGGTTGCCAGTGGCATGATCCTGGTCATGGCTTTCTTCCTCATCACCTACACCTTCCATTCCACCTGGGTGACCAGCGAGGCATACTCCTCCCTTCCATCGTGCTGTCCGCCCGGGGTGGCGACGGCAGCAGGATCATCTTCGATGACTTCAGAGAAGCTTATTACTGGCTGCGCCACAACACGCCGGAGGTGAGCGGGGGTAATTCGGGCGGCGGTGACCCCAACGTTGTCCCCTGAGGTGCTGGCAGCATGTCTGGTGTTCGGCCGCAGGACGCGAAGGTGATGTCCTGGTGGGACTACGGGTACCAAATAACCGCCATGGCCAACCGGACCATCCTGGTGGACAACAACACCTGGAACAACACCCACTCTCCCGTGTCGGTCAGGTAGGTCCTTCCCTCACCTGCTGCCTTGCCCTGCTTTTGTGGGGCACCGCGTGGCGTCACTGACGCCGCGTCTGCTCCAGGCGATGGCATCAACGGAGGAGAAAGCTTACGAGATCATGAGGGAGCTGGACGTCAGCTACGTGCTGGTAATCTTCGGAGGCCTCACTGGGTATTCGTCCGATGGTAAGATTGCGCTCTGAGCTGGGTCAAACCCATCTACGGGGCTGGTGGTGCAGGCGTCTCCAAAACTCCTCTTGGAGGACCCAACTCCCACCTTCAGCTGTGGCTGCAAGGTGGAAACGGTACCAAAACGCTCCTCTCTGGAAGCTGCACGTACCTTTTCTGCCCTCCCACAACTCAACCTTCTTGCTCTTGGCCCTCCAACAACTCAACTCAATCCCTTGCTCCTGGTCTTCCAACAATTCAACTCAACTCAATCCTTGCTCCTGGTCTTCCAACAACTCAACCCCCTTGCTCTTGGTCTTCCAACAATTCAACTCAACTCAATCCCTTGCTCCTGGTCTTCCAACAACTCAACCCCCTTGCTCTTGGTCTTCCACAATTCAACTCAACTCAATCCCTTGCTCCTGGTCTTCCAACAACTCAACCCCCTTGCTCTTGGTCTTCCAACAATTCAACTCAACGCAATCCTTGCTCCTGGTCTTCCAACAACTCAACCCCTTGCTCTTGGCCCTCCAACTCACTCAACCCTTGCTCTTGGCCTTCCAATAACTCAACCCAATCCTTTGCTCTTGGCCCTCCAACAATTCAACTCTTCACTCTTCCACCCCAACCCTTTGCTCTCCACCTTTCAGATATCAACAAATTCCTGTGGATGGTGCGGATCGGGGGCAGCACGGACACGGGGCGCCACATCAAGGAGCACGACTACTACACCCCCACGGGAGTTTCGGGTCGACCGCGAGGGCTCCCCAGTGCTCCTCAACTGCTCATGTACAAGATGTGCTACTACCGCTTCGGCCAGGTCTACACAGAGGCCAGTAAGTCCCCAGACCCACACCCGCTGTGGGGGTATGATGTCACTTTTGGGGCACCCCACTGTGCCCCCCCTCCGCCGTCTTCGGGCGCAGCGTGGCAGCGCTGCCTGTACTTTGCCCTCCTAGAGCGACCCGCCGGCTACGACCGGGTGAGGAATGCCGAAATCGGCAACAAGGACTTTGAGCTGACGTGCTGGAGGAGGCGTACACCACGAGCACTGGCTGGTCCGAATATACAAGGTCTGGCCCCAAAATGAGCCCAAACCCCCAGATTCGGGGAAAAAAAACCATTAAATTTCACCTTACCCGGCTTGTTTTTTACCACCCAGGTGAAAGATTTGGATAACCGTGGCTTGTCAAGAACGTAGAGGAGCTGCCGCCAGCCGCACCACGCACCGCACTGACCCAGCCTTTGCCTGTGAAACAGAAATATTGGGGGTTTTTTGTTTGTTTTTTTGGGGGGAGGGGGACAGGTGGTTTGTTTTTTTGTTTTCTACCATTTGGAAGTGCAGGCACCCATGGGCCGTCCCTGCCTGCTGGGGACTGATTTTTTTTTTTTATATATATACACACAGAGCATTCGCCAAATCAGAAATAACGGCTTTAACCGGGGTTGATTAATGGGGAGTTACAAATAATAATAATTAAAAAGAAAAAAAAAAAGTGACTTTGGGCTTTTTTTCTGCTGGTTTGTTCTTCCTTTTTTTTCTCCTTTTTTTTCTCCTTTTTTCTTCTCTTTTCTTTTTCTCTTTTTCTCTCCTTTTTCTCTTTTTTCTCTTTTTATCTTTTTTCTTCTCTTTTTCTCTTTTTTCTTTCTCTTTTCTCTTTTTTTCTTTCTCTTTTTTCTTTCTCTTTTTTTCTTTCTCTTTTTTCTTTCTCTTTTTTTCTTCTCTTTTTCTTCTCTTTTTTTCTTTCTCTTTTTTCTCTTTTTTCTCTCTTTTTTTCTCTTTTTTTCTTTTTTTCTCTTTTTTCTCTTTTTTCTCTTTTTTTTCTCTTTTTTCTTTCTCTTTTTTCTCTCTTTTTTCTCTTTTTTTCTCTTTTTTCTCTTTTTTCTCTTTTTTTCTTTTTTCTCTTTTTCTCTCTTTTTCTTACTTTTTCTCTTTTGCTTTTTTCTATTCTCTTTTTTCTCTTATTTTTCTTTTTTCTCTTATTTTTCTTTTTTCTCTTTTTCTTTCTCTTTCTTTTTTCGTCTGCTTTTTTTTCCCTTTTTCTCCTTTTTTTTCTCCCTTTTTCTCCCCTTTTCTCCCTCTTTCTTTTTCTCTTTTCCCTCTTTCTTTTCCCTCTTTCTTTTCCCTCTTTCTTTTCCCTCTTTCTTTTCCCTCTTCTTTCCCTCTTTCTTTTCCCTCTTTCTTTTCCCTCTTTCTTTTCCCTCTTTCTTTTCCCTCTTTCTTTTCCCTCTTTCTTTTCCCTCTTTCTTTTCCTCTTTCTTTTCCCTCTTTCTTTTCCCTCTTTCTTTTCCCTCTTTCTTTTCCCTCTTTCTTTCCCTCTTTCTTTTCCCTCTTTCTTTTCCTCTTTCTTTTCCCTCTTTCTTTTCCCTCTTTCTTTTCCCTCTTTCTTTTCCCTCTTTCTTTTCCCTCTTTCTTTTCCCTCTTTCTTTTCCCTCTTTCTTTTCCCTCTTTCTTTTCCCTCTTTCTTTTCCCTCTTTCTTTTCCCTCTTTCTTTTCCCTCTTTCTTTTCCCTCTTTCTTTTCCCTCTTTCTTTTCCCTCTTTCTTTTCCCTCTTTCTTTTCCCTCTTTCTTTTCCCTCTTTCTTTCCCTCTTTCTTTTCCCTCTTTCTTTTCCTCTTTCTTTTCCCTCTTTCTTTTCCCTCTTTCTTTTCCCTCTTTCTTTTCCCTCTTTCTTTTCCCTCTTTCTTTTCCCTCTTTCTTTTCCCTCTTTCTTTTCCCTCTTTCTTTTCCCTCTTTTTTCTTTTCCCTCTTTCTTTTCCCTCTTTCTTTTCCCTCTTTCTTTTCCCTCTTTCTTTTCCCTCTTTCTTTTCCCTCTTTCTTTTCCCTCTTTCTTTTCCCTCTCTTTTTCTTCTTCCTCCTTCCTTCCTTCCTTTCTCTTTCCTTCCTTTTCCCCGCGTTGGAGCGCGGGGAGGGATTGTGGGGGCGTTTTGCCGCTTTGAAGCGATTGACTGGGGATTGCGGGGCGGGGGGGCGGGGCCCGCTCGCCCTGCGCGCGCAGGGGCGGGGCGGGGCGCGGTGGCGCCGGCGGGAAGGAGGGGGCGGCGTGGCGGGAAGGGGCCGGCGATGGCGGTTCCGTTCGTGGAGGACTGGGACCTGGTGCAGACGCTGGGGGAAGGCGCCTACGGGGAGTGAGTGCGGGGAGGGGGGGGGGGGGGGGCCCTTGCACGCCCCTTTGCACGCCCCTTTGCACGCCCGCCGCCTGCCCGGCCTCACCCCCGCTGCGGCCACTGCTTGCCCGCTGCGTGCCCCCTTAGCTGGCCGCTGCTTGCCCACTGCTTGCCCCTTCTGTGGCCACTGCTTGGCTACCACGTGCCCACCGCTTGCCCATTGCATACCCCTTAGGTGGCCACCGCTTGCCCACCACTTGCCTGTTGCAGTGCCCCTTACCTGGCCACTGCTTGGCTATCACATGCCCTCTGCTTGCCCACTGCTTGCCCCTTATGTGGCCACTGCTTGGCTACCACACGCCCACCGTTTAGCCCCTGCATGGTCACTGTGTGCCCCCTGAGTGGCCACTGCTTGGCTGTTACGTGCCCCTTACCTGGCCACTGCTTGGCTATTGCACACCTGCTGCGTGGCCACTGCTTGCCCATTGCGTGCCCCTTATGTGGCCACTCCTTGCCCACTTCTTGGCTACCACATGCCCACCGCTTGCCCATTGCATACCCCTTAGGTGGCCACTGCTTGCCCACTTCTTGGCTACCACGTGCCCACCGCTTGCCCATTGCATACCCCTTAGGTGGCCACCGCTTGCCCACCACTTGCCTGTTGCAGTGCCCCTTAGCTGGCCACTGCTTGGCTATCACGTGCCCTCTGCTTGCCCATTGTGTGCCCCTTACATGCCCTCTGCTTGCCCACTGCTTGCCTACTGCTTGCTCCTTATGTGGCCACTGCTTGGCTACCACATGCCCACCGTTTAGCCCCTGCATGGTCACTGTGTGCCCCCTGAGTGGCCACTGCTTGGCTATCGCACGCCTGCTGCGTGGCCACTGCTTGCCCGTTGCATGCCCCTTATGTGGCCACTGCTTGCCCACTTCTTGGCTACCACGTGCCCACCGCTTGCCCATTGCATACCCCTTAGGTGGCCACCGCTTGCCCACCACTTGCCTGTTGCAGTGCCCTTACCTGGCCACTGCTTGGCTATCACGTGCCCTCTGCTTGCCCATTGCATGCCCCTTACATGCCCTCTGCTTGCCCACTGCTTGCCCCTTATGTGCCCACTGCATGGTCACTGTGTGCCCCCTGAGTGGCCACTGCTTGGCTGTTACATGCCCCTTACCTGGCCACTGCTTGGCTATTGCACGCCTGCTGCGTGGCCACTGCTTGCCCATTGCTTGCCCCTTATGTGGCCACTCCTTGCCCACTGCTTGGCTATCCCATGCCTACTGCTTGCCCGTTGCATGCCCCTTATGTGGCCACTCCTTGCCCACTGCTTGGCTACCACATGCCCACCACATGCCCACCGCTTGCCCATTGCATACCCCTTAGGTGGCCACCGCTTGCCCACCACTTGCCTGTTGCAGTGCCCCTTACCTGGCCACTGCTTGGCTATCACGTGCCCTCTGCTTGCCCACTGCATGCCCCTTACATGCCCACTGCTTGCCTACTGCTTGCCCCTTACGTGGCCACTCCTTGCCCACTGCTTGGCTACCACATGCCCACCACTTGCCCTCTGCATCACCACCCTGTGCCCCCTGAGTGGCCACTGCTTGGCTGTTACGTACCCCTTACCTACCCACTGCTTGCCCTGTCTGTACCCTCTGCTTGCCCGCTCTTGGGCCACTGCGTGCCCCTTATGTGGCCACTGTTTGCTCCCCTCCTGGCTACCACACGCCCGCTGCATGCCCTGCATCTGCCCGCTGCCCGTCTTCCCCCAGCAGCCTTTCGTTTTGCGCCCCCCCCCCCCCGTGCCCCGCTGACACCCCCCCCGGCCCCAGGGTGCAGCTGGCCGTCAACCGCCGCACCGAGGAAGCCGTGGCCGTCAAAATCGTCGACATGAAGCGAGCGGCCGACTGCCCGGAGAACATCAAGAAGGAAATCTGCATCAACAAGATGCTCAACCATGAAAACGTCGTCAAATTTTATGGCCACCGCCGGGAAGGTGCCACGCAATACCTCTTCCTGGAGTACTGCAGCGGCGGCGAGCTCTTCGACCGCATCGGTACGCCCGCTCAAAAACTCGTTTTATTTTATATAAAGTCATCGCTTCCAAAATTAATCCCCAAACCGTTAAGGATTGCGCTCCCCCTTCTTATTCCTCTCCTGCAGAGCCGGATATCGGGATGCCGGAGCCGGAGGCGCAGCGTTTCTTCCAGCAGCTGATCGGCGGCGTGGTGAGTGCGGTGCTGGGGAGGCCGGTGCCGGTGCCGGCGCGGTGCTGAGCCCACCCCTCCACCCCCAGGTCTATCTGCACGGCATCGGCATCACCCACCGCGACCTGAAGCCGGAGAACCTGCTGCTGGACGAGCGAGGTGGGGCGAGGGCGCCGCATCCCTCGCCCGGTCCCTCCCCCTGTTGAGTTTCGATTTGCTCCCGTTGAGTTTTTCCTTGGGGTTTGGGCGCAGATAACCTGAAAATCTCCGATTTCGGCTTGGCCACCGTCTTCAAGCACAACGGCCGGGAGCGGCTGCTCAACAAGATGTGCGGCACCCTGCCCTACGTGGCCCCCGAGCTGCTGAGGCGCCCCGAATTTAGGGCCGAGCCTGTCGACGTCTGGGCTTGCGGCGTGGTGCTGACCGCGATGCTGGCCGGAGGTGGGCTGCCTGAAATGTATAGGGGGACCCTATGGGATGCAGAAGGGGGGAGGTATGGGCTGCAGGAGGGGGAGGGAGGGGTGAAATGCAGCGGGGGGGACGGCTAAGATGCGTAAGGGAGAAGCAGGGGGACATAGGACGTGCATGGGAGGGGTGTATGAAATACCTAAGGGGGATGTGTGGAAGGCATAGCGGGGCATAAAACGCAGGAGGGGAAGCTCTGAGGTGTGTAAAGGGGGATATATGAGGCGCCTAGGTGTGGTATAGAATGTGTGGGGGGACGGCGCCTGGTGCAGAGCAGAGATGCCCGGCACAGAATCCAGCTGCGGTGTCACAGTCGTTGCTGCTGGGCTCTTGCATGCTGCAGGGCTTTGCACGCTGCAGGACCATGCACGCTGCAGGACCATGCACGCTGCAGGGCTTTGTACACTGCAGGGCTTTGCACGCTGCAGGACCATGCACGCTGCAGGGCTTTGCATGCTGCAGGGCTTTGCACACTGCAGGACCATGCACGCTGCAGGGCTTTGCACACTGCAGGACCATGCACGCTGCAGGGCTTTGCACGCTGCCGGGCTTTGCACGCTGCAGGACCATGCATGCTGCAGGGCTCTGCATGCTGCAGCACCATGCACGCTGCAGCACCATGGACGCTGCAGGGCTTTACACGCTGCAAGGCTTTGCACGTCACAGACCTTTACACACCACGAGGCTTTCGTGCATTGCAGCATGTTCACACCCTGCACACCTCTGAGTGTTGCCCCCTTCCAAAACCGCCCAGAACCCATCTTCGCTGCCCCTCCTCGCCCCAACTCCCCGTGCAAATCTTGCCACACTGCCTCCTTGGCTGTGTTTTCCCCTTCCCGTTCTCCCGCCGCCCCGGTGCGAGAACGCGGCAGGTTTTTCCCTCCGGCAGAACTGCCCTGGGACCAGCCCAGTGATAGCTGCCAGGAGTACAGCGACTGGAAGGAGAAAACCTACCTCCCGCCGTGGAAGAAGATCGATTCGGCACCCTTAGGTAAGCAGCCGGCACCCGGTGGCACCCGGTGCCGTGCCAGCAGTCGCCATCTCCCCCCCTGTCCCCCCCAGCTTTGCTGCACAAGATCCTGACGGAGAGCCCGACGGCGAGGATCACCATCCCCGACATCAAGAAGGACCGGTGGTACAGCAAACCCCTCAAAAAGGGTAAAGGGCCCCTGGGGAATGCGCTCGACCCGCTAGATTTGGGGGGAAGGGGGGGAATGGGGGTTATTTGGTGTCTTGTTGCTTTGCAGGCATCAAGCGGGCTCGCGTCTCCTCCGGGGGGTTCACCGACTCCCCCGGTGGCTTCTCCAAGCACATCCGATCCGACATGGACTTCTCGCCGGTGAAGAGCGCGCTGGGGTGAGCGCCAGGGCTCCCCGTGCACCCCCGCCTGGCGCCCGCCCGTGTCCTGGCTGCTGGGGTTCCCTGCGCCGCTGAAAGCAGCGGCTTCCCTGCAGCTTTGCACCCTGCAGGGCTCTGCACGCTGCAGGGCTTTGCATGCTGCAAGCAGGAGCCTTGCTGCACGTTTGCACGTTGCTGGGCTTTGCACAGTGCAAGGCTCTGCACGCTGCAGGGCTTTGCATGCTGCAAGCAGGAGCCTTGCTGCACGTTTGCACGTTGCTGGGCTTTGCACAGTGCAAGGCTCTGCACGCTGCGGGCTTTGCATGCTGCAAGCAGGAGCCTTGCTGCACGTTTGCACGTTGCTGGGCTTTGCACCGTGCAAGGCTCTGCACGCTGCAGGGCTTTGCATGCTGCACGCAGGAGCCTTGCTGCACGTTTGCACATTGCTGGGCTTTGCACAGTGCAAGGCTCTGCACGCTGCAGGTTTTGCATGCTGCAGGCAGGAGCTTTCCTGCATCTTTGAGCGCTGTGGGGCTTCGCACACCGGGGAGCTTTGTGCAGTGCAAGGCTTTGAACATGGCAGGGCTTTGCACGCTGCAGGGCTTTGTGTAGTGCTGGGCTTTGCATGGTGCAAGGCTCTTCATGCTGTGGGGCTTTGCATGCTGCAAGCAGGAGCTTCCCTGCATGTTTGCACCTTGTGGGGCTTTGCATGCTGAGGGGCTTTGCATGGTGCAGGGGTTTGCATGATGCAGGGCTTCGCATGCTGCAAGCAGGAGCTTTCCTGCATGTTTGCATGTTGTGGGGCTTTGCACACCGAGGGGCTTTGTGCAGCGCAGGGCTTTGCACACTGTGGGGCTTTACATGCTGCAAACAGGAGCTTTCCTGCATGCTTGCACCTTGCAGGGCTTTGCACACTATGGGGCCTTGCGCGGTGCAGGGCTTTGCATGCTGCAAGCAGGAGCCTTCCTGCACGTTTGCACGTTGTGGGGCTTTGCACACTGAGCGGCTTCGTGCAGTGCAGGGCTTTGCACTGTGCAAGGCTTTGCATGCTGCAAGCAGGAGCTTCCCTGCTTGTTCGCACCTTGCAGGGCTTTGCCCACTGTGGGGGCTTTGTGCAGAACAAGGCTTTGAACACTTCAGAACCTCGCACGCTGCGGGGCTTTGCGCGGTGCAAGGCCCTGCACGCTGCAGGGGCTTTGCGTGCTGCAAGCAGGACCTTTCCTGCATGCCCGCGCTTTGCGGGGCTTTGCACAGTGCAAGACCTCGAACGCTGCGGGGCTTTCTCTCTTTTTTTTCACCCGGAGGTGGTCTGGTGGAAACCACGCCCAAGTGTGCCTTTGCACGGCAGCGCACCAGCCCAAAGCAGCGCAACTCCCCCTGCTCCAACATCTCCCCGCTGTCCCCCCCCCCCATTTTGCAGCAGCCCCCCCTCACGCCCCGTCTCCCCCTTGCCTTGCAGCGAGGAGAAGGCGAGCTACTCCACGTCGCAGCCGGAGCCCGGCACCGGCGGGGCGCTCTGGGAGAGCGGGGCGGCCACCATCGACAAACTGGTGCAGGGCATCAGCTTCTCCCAGCCCGCCTGCCCTGAGCACATGCTGGTGAACAGCCAGCTCCTCGGCACCCCGGGCTCCTCGCAGGTGCTGCAGAGGGGGCGCGGGGGGGTGGCCACCTCGTGTACTTGGGGTGCAGCTCTGCAGGTTTTGTTCCGCCGGGGCGCAGCTTCGCGGCATTCGTAATATCAGGACGCAGCTTTGCAAGGTTTTGCATCTCGGGAGGCAGCTCCTCAAGGTTTATCCTCCCAGGGTGCAACCTCGGGGTATTTGGGGTGCGACACTGTGATGTATCGACTGCCAGGGAGCAACTGTGCAATATTGGGGGTGCGGCTTTGCAATGTTTAGCATCTCAGGTTGCAACCTTGCAGCATTTGTAGTATCAGAATGCAACTGTGCAACGGTTGAGGTGCTGCTTTGCAACATCAGGATGCAACTCTGCTGTATTTGGGACGCAGCTTTGCAATCAATCTGTAACATTGGCATCCAACTTTGCAGCATTTATTATATCTGGGATGTAACTTTGCATCATAGGTATAAGGCTAAGAAGCAATGTCTCAATATTTACAGTATTAGGGAGCAGTTTTGCAATATTGGGGATGCTGCTTTGCAGTATTTCTAATATTTGGGGTGCAACTTTGCAATATTTGTAACACAGCTTTGCAGCCTGGGAGGTGCAACTTGCAGCGTTTACCATCAGGGGGTGCAGCTTTGCAATATTTATCCTCTGCACGGGGGATTTTTCTGAGCTGGGACTGCATCTGTGGGGGAATTTGTAGCCTTTGGTGGATTTGTAACCTTTGCAATGGGTTTTTGGGGCCGGCAGAGCCCGTGGCAGCGGCTGGTGAAGCGGATGACGCGCTTCTTCACCAAACTGGACGCTGACGGCTCTTACCGCGCCCTGAAAGAGGTCTGTGAGAAGATGGGGTACGGCTGGAAGAAGAGCTGCACAAACCAGGTACAGCGAGGGGTGCAGATTCATGGGGTGGGACCCCCCGTGCAGATTCGTGGGGTGGGACCCCCCCCCCTCACGCTGCTGCATCTGCAAATGATTCAGGGACTCACCACCACTGCCTTTGCTGCCGTTTTGCAGGTCACCATCTCGACCACGGACAAGAGGAACAACAAGCTCATCTTCAAGGTGAACCTGGTGGAGATGGAGAGCAAGATTCTGGTGGATTTTCGCCTCTCCAAGGTGAGCGGGGGGTCGGGGGTCTTGCAAGACCGTGCCAGGGCGGATGCGAGGCCGGTGGTGGGCGTGGGGTGCTGCAAGGTGCACGGCGTCTGCGAGGTGATGCTGGGGGGGGGTGCAAGGCAATGCACCACGCCTGTAAGGACCTTAGGGTGCAGATGCTGCAACACACCCCCTGGCTTCCCCCCCCCCCCCCCCCTTCTCCCCACGCAGGGCGACGGCCTGGAGTTCAAGAGGCATTTCCTGAAAATCAAGGGCAAGCTCAGCGACGTCGTCAGCACCCAGAAAGTCTGGCTGCCCGCCACCTGAGCCCCCCCTGCACCCCACCCTCCTCCTCCCTTCCTCCTTTTCCTCCTCTTCCTCCCGGGGGGGCTCCTGCGGCAGCACCCTGACACCGGGAAGGTGACCGACCTCGCGCTTCGGATTTTAAAGCTTCAATAAAGCCCTTGGCGGGGGGGGGGGGGAGACACAAAGTGGTGCCTCTTGCTGCAAGGGGGAGGGCGCAGTGGGTCCCATCCTGCCCCGGCCGAGGGATTTTTCATCCCCAAAAAGGAGCACAGGCACCATTTTGCCTTGTTAACCCTGCTCAGCCCAGCAGCTCCTTCACCTGCAGCAGTGTTTTGCCCCAAACCTGGAGATTCGCGGCCAAAACTCCTCCCCAGGGATGTGGGGGGCTGCTCCGCAGCACTGAGATATAACCCATTTTATTTTGGGGGGGGAGGTGCTCTGGATGTAATACAAAATTTTTAAATTTTTTTAATTTTGGAGGGATTCTCAATGAGCACAGGGCTCGTTCACTCTGAAACCTACTGACGGTGCAGCATGGCTCAGCCAGCCTGCATCCCACTCTGGTATCTCAGCTGAGCTGTGCAGCCCCAAACCAGCCCATTACACCCCCCCAAAATTTAGGGGCTGACCCCCTCCTCTTCCTGCCCTGTCTCAGGGCAGCGGCTGCCCTCATTTTCCAACCTCACTAATTGCTTTTCGGAAGGGCTAACGAGCCCGCGAGCTGCCAGGGGTTGTTAGCACTGGAGCGAGAGAGGAGAGCTGGGGATTAACCCCTTCCCCCACCTCCCCCCCCAAAGAAAAAAAGAGCATCCCCCCCAAAAAAACACAACAGGGTGCAAACCCTGAGACATCTCCACGATTTTTCTCCAAAGCTGCATCAGCGTTTAATTATCAGCGTAGAAAACTCTGTGCTTGTCTTCCCCCTTTTTTTTTTTTTTAGTTTATTATCCCTTTCCCTGGCTTTTATATTTTTTTTTTTTTTTTGGTCTGGTGGGAACTCCTCTTCAGCAGAGCAATTAGCGGCGATTTTTTAATTGCATATTTATATTGCAGTCGGGAGCGAGACCCCAGCAGCAGGCAAGGGGGAAGCAGGAAGACGCCGCCTCCGACCTTGTTTGCTTTTCAAGGGGGATTAAGCGCTTTTAATTGTCCTGGAGATCACAGATTGTGGCTGGGGGGGATAATTAGGCTGAATACAGGGTTTTCTGGTTCACTCCTCCCAGGAATTTATATTTCTAAGGGGAAAAAAAATATATATATATAAAAGCTTTGGGAATGCTTTGGGAATTACGGTTTTTGGGGAGGTTGTGAGGCTGGACACAACTTGTTGCATGAGTGGGTCTCCCCTTTGCAGGCTGCAAGGGGAAAGCCTCTATTTTTGCAACAAATAATTTTTTCCCCTATTACCTGCAGTAAATAGGTTGGGGGGGGGGGGGTCATAGGGCACATTTGCCCCCTGGGATGTTTCGGGAGAGGCCGCGCACCGCTCCCCGCGTTAACCAACTATCCCACAGGATTTTCAACCCCGATTTTTTTTTTGGGGGGGGTGGGTGGTTTTGTCTGTTTGCTTGTTTTTTCTCGGGAGGGGAGGGGTCTGGGGGGATTATTTGCTGCTTTTTGGAGGGGGGGGGGGTTGAGGGGAAAATTCCAGGGGGGGATAAAAGATTTATTTTCAAATCTCTCCGGGTAAAAAGGGGGCTGCGCGGAGCCGGGTCCCTGAAAGCGCCCATTGTGCGGCCCCGCTGGGGACAAGGCGCTCTCAGAGAGGCACCGGAGCGTGCAAAATGCCTTAAACCAACATTATCGCCGGCGCAGGCGGCCGGAGCGGGGCAGCTTCTCACCCCACCTCATCACAAATTCATGGTGCTCAGGTTATTTTGCCGTCCCTCGGGCTCCTCGCAGCATCCTGGGCGCGGGATTTGGGCTGCGGAGCTACGGGGGGGGGGGGGGGGGGGGGGGGGGATGTGGGATGGAGGATTCCGTGTGTGGAGGGGTTAGGATGTAGCTGGAGGATACGGGATGAAGGATTTAGGATGCAGATATGGGCTGTAGGATTTAGGATGTGGATGGAGGATGCAGACGTGAGCCGTAGGGCTTAGGATGCAGGATTTAGGGTGCAGATGCAGGACACCGGAGAGGGGCTGCAGAAGCAGGATTTGGGATGCAGAAGCAGGATTTGGGATGCAGGAGGGACACAGGAGGGAGGATTTAGGCAACAAACACAGGTTCCCGGGTGGAGGATACAGGATTTTGGGCGCAGGACACAGGATTGGGGATGTAGAAGTGGGGTGGAAGATTTAGGATACAGGATGGGGGGATGGAGGATTGAGGATGTGGATGTGGGCTGGTGGGGGCAGGATGGAGGATTTAGGATGCAGATTCAGGGTCCCAGATACAGGGCAGGACCGGGATGCAGGACACAGGTGAGGGGCTGCAGCAGCAGGATTTTGGGTGCAGATGCAGATGTGGGGTGCAGGAGACAGCATGAGATGAAAGAACAGATTCGAGATTTCGGATGCAGGTGCAGGACAGAGGATGTGTGATGCAGATGCAGGACATGGGATGCAGAAGCTGAATTGAGGGTGCAGGTGTGGGACATAGGGGATGCAGATGCAGGACAGGGGATGCAGAAGCAGAATTTAGGATGCAGAAGCAGAATTTAGGATGCAGATGGAGGATTTAGGGTACAGACACACGTGGGATATAGGATGGGGCGGGGTGGAGAATGCAGGACATGGAATGCAGAAGCAGCATTTAGGGTGCAGATATGGGATGGAGGTGCAGGAGAAGGGATGGTCCAGCCCCAGAGCATGACAGCACCAGCCTGGCCGTGCAGGGGGATCTTGCAGCACCTCTGGAGCTGGGGCCTGAGCGCAACAAGCCGGGAAATGCAGCTTTCCAAGGCAAAATTACAGCTTTCAAATCCCATACAGGGATTTCGCTGCTCGTCCCCCATCTGGGAGGCAGAGCCCAGCCGCGTGGCCACATCTGCCCACCAGATGTGCCGGGGCGGCAATTCGGGGAGGGGAACGGAGCCCCCGCGGGTGGGGAAGCCTCCCCCAGCCCCCTGCTGCACAGCCAGTTTGGGAACGCCGCTCTCCCGTCTCCCACCTGCTCTGAGGCAGTGCCGGCGGGGACCGGGACCGGGCTGGATGGAAGGACTGGATGGGGCCAATCTGGCCTCACAAATTATTTTCGTTGCAATTAAGCTTTTGTCGCAGGCTGGAGGCGGGGGTGATGGGGACGAGGCACAGCCAGGATGCATCTATAGGGTTCACAGCCCAGTGTGGCCCAGCAAGGAGCCTGGGCTGGGCTTGCACAGGGACTCGGGGTGGGGTGGGGGTCCCTGGGGAGGCCAGTCAGACCATAAGGATTTGTTAGTGGCCTCGGGGTGCTGGCAGCAGGACGGGGGCGCTGATGCAGGGTTTGGGGTGCAGGCGCAGGGCGTGGGACAGTGCAGGAGGCGGGTGCAGGTGGAGGATGCGGGATGAAGGGTGCAGATGCAGGACACGGGGTGCAGGATGGGGGCTGCAGATGCAGGACTCAGGAGGCAAGAGGTGGGGTGCAGGGTGCAGCTCCAGGGAGCGAGAGCTGGGATGCACGGTGCGAGACGTGGGGTTTGGGGTGCAGGTGGAGGATTTGAGCTGCAGGATGAAGATCCGGGGGGCAGGCGTGGGATACAGGTGCAGGATGCAGATGTGGGATGCAAAAGCAAGATGCAGTTGCAGCATGCCAGAAGTGGGATGCATGGTGCGTGTGAAGGGTGCAAGATGCAGACGTGCGATGCAGATGCAGCTCCGGGATGGCAAGGCACTGCTGTGAGCAGAGAAAAATGGCAGAAACATTTCCCCATCTGTTTTTTAGGGGCACGTTTAGCATTTTCCCACCAACATCAGCCTTTTGGGGACTGGCAGTCCAACAGGTTTGCTTCTTGCAGAAGCATTTCTATTTTCCAAACTTGTGCTCGGTGTTCCCAGGACAGCAAATATTAAGAAAAAACCCAAGGCCAGAGCAATTCCATCTGAAAACACCCAAAAATCCAGCATTTCCCTTCCTAAACCAGCGTCTCCCTCCTTTCTCCTCATCATTTCCCACTGTGGAGGGGCTGGATATTTAGCTCAGGAGATGTTTTTGCTCTTGCAAAACCATTGCAGCGGCCTTGGGAAGGCCGCCACGTTAATAAAAGCAAAAATGCAGAGGAGTCTGTTAAGGGAACTCTTGCAAAAACTCCTTCCATAAAACATTACGGGCAGTGTCAGCTTTTTGTTTGGACTTTTTTTTCCCCTCTTATTTCACCAGGCACCTGAATTTTGCAGGTCGAGTGCCTGGAGGATGGTGTGAGTTGGGTTTTTGCAGCAGGTTTGGCCTCTGGATCCTCCTGTCAGTGGCAGGGAGGGGTTTTGCAGGGGAAACCTGGAATTTGGAGGTTAAAACTGGAATTTGCAGGTTAAAACCTGCAAGTGTCCCACAAAATTGGGGGATTGGCACCACAGATGCAGCCTGGCAGTAAGGCCGAGGCCACGGGTGAGAGGCCCCATCGGTGCCTCTCTCCCAGCAGGCAGGAGAGGGAGGAAAATGCTTTAAAAAGGTAAAAAAAAAAGCTCCAAACCAGGGAGGCTGAGGTCATTTTTTTGGCGAGGAAGTTGGCTCCTTTGAAATGCCTCCGGGTCGGGTTTAATATCAGCAGAAACATTCTTAGGCAGGGCGGGGAGAAAGCGCTGCTCTCGCCATTGAGTGGACCCCAAAAAAGCCCTGAAAAAAAAAAAAAAAAACAAAAAAAACCAAACAAACACCCCCCAAACCACCCCCCTTTGCTGCTTTGCAAACCCCAGGCATGGAGCAAGCTGAGCATTGTTGGGGGAGAAGAGTGAAACCAGCCTGTGAAGGGGAAAAAATACCCCCTAGGAGCTAGGATCTGAACCTTTAAGCAGCTTTCGAGCGTCATTTGGCCCCTGCCAGGAATATGGGGCTGTGAAGAAGTAGAAAGCGAGGGGGCCTGGCAGGGAAAATGTAATTTTCCCCCTTGCCCTGGAGGGTTTTATCTTGTTGCTTCATTCCCTCCTTGATTTAGCATCATCTCTCGGGCTCAGCACCCACCACCACCCACCTTGGGCAAAGGGACCCAGGTGCAAGGACAAGAAACTGCTGGAAAATGTATCAAAAAGGGGGGCAAAATTTATATTGATTGCATCTGCCGTGCTTTGCTTGGAGGGCTGAGAAGCTCAGGGGCCTTCTGGTGCCTTGCCACGAGCCCTCGGCCGCCCTGAGAAGCTGTTCTGGCTTTTCTAACGATTTAGCACATTAGGAGGGTTATGGTTTGGCCATGTTTATTTTGCTAAACCCCACAAACCCATAATAGAGCTTGGGGGGGGGGGTAGAGAAGGAGGAGGCGGGGAGATGCGCTGGAAGGTTATTAAAAAAACAAAAGGGAAAAAAAAAAAAGAAAAAAGAAAAACATGACAGAAAACAGCAGCTGAAGAGGGAAAATGAGTTTGGGATTGCAGGGAGGCTCTGCATCTGCAGAGCAGCTGCGGGCGGCAGGGACGCGGCGGGTTGTGGGGATGCTGCACCTTGCTGGGGATGTGCACCCCGCCAAAATAAAGGTGAGGGGAGAAAAAAAAAAAAAAAAAAATGGGCAGGAAGGTTGGAGGGGGAAAAAAAAAAAGCATTTGGAGGGTTTCTGGTCCCCGCTGAGAGGGAGGAGCAAGGCGATGCTCTGGCTGGGGAAGGGGATTTCTCCTCTGTGCTTGCACATTCCTCCCGTCAGCAATATTTACACGACGGCACCAGGAGAAATCCCAGGTCGGCTGGGCCACCTCCTGCCAGTTATCGTGGCCCCACAGCACCTCACTGCTTAATCCTAGTTTTTTCTCCCTGACCCCTTTGGTGGGGTCCCGTCTGTACCCTCTAGTTGCAGTCCTCCCTATGCAAAAGTCCTGCTCATGACCCTCCGGGGCGCTCCCCAAAATATTGCCCTGCACTTTTAGGTGTCCCTGCCTCCGGCTTTTAGAGGGGCAGGGCTGCTGGGGAGGGTGCTACCTGCCCCTCTGGGGTGCAGGGTTTGGGGTGGACTCTGCGCCGCGGGGTTGCTTCCACCTCCAGGCAGCGCTGGAAAGCCCCGGCAGCGACATCTCCTCCTGGCAACAGGCGTTTTTGCAGGGAGCAGGGGTGCTTGCAGGATGCCAGGAGGTTTTTCAGCACGCAGGGACGTTTGCGGCGCGCGTGGATGCTCGCAGCACGGGGAGGGGGGGGGGATGTTGGCA